ACCCTTGGATCACCCAGGGCCTCATTAACTCCATCGACAAGAAAGCTAGGTTGTATTTCGAATGGAAGAAGACTTGTACATTAAAACTACCTGATGGGGATCCAAACAAGCACATATACTACAAGGAATTCGACAAGTTTCTCAAGAGCTCAATAAAGATGGCAAAGGCTATGTGCTATACTCAAAAATTCGAGAAGTACAGCATGAACTCAAAAAAGACCTGGGAAATTATAAATGAACTCCGTGGCAAAAATTTATCTAGATGTAAAGACGATTTTGTCATAGATGGCCAGAGAGTTACTTGCAGACGAATAATTGCTAACAAATTCTGTGAATATTTTACATCTCTTGCAAGTAATCTCAATAAAAATGTACTGTCAAACAATAGTATTTCTCTGGAACCAGTAGAATCATTTGCTCAGTTTATGTCTAATTCGGTATCTGACTCCATATACCTGGAAGAAACTAATGAAGAAGAAATTATAGAGGTGATCCGAGATTTTCAAAATGGTAAGGCCAGTGACATACCTGTAGTTGTTGTAAAAAAACCGGCAAAACTCATTGCAGGTACTTTGGCTAGGCTTTACAACACATGTATACAAAGTGGTACATTCCCAAGTATTTTTAAAACTGGTAAAGTTATTCCTATTTACAAGAAAGACAATAAAGAATGCATTGAAAATTATCGGCCTGTATCAATATTACCTTTATTTGGAAAGATCTTCGAGAAGGTTATTTATAAACGCCTCTATAATTTCTTCACATCTAAAGGTGTACTAACAGACTCACAGTTTGGATTTAGAAAAGGCCATTCTACCACCCATGCTCTACACAAATCTATAGACTCCGTTACTAAGTCTCTGGCAAGCAATAAACATGTCCTAGGGATATTCATTGACTTGAGCAAAGCCTTCGACACCCTTGATCACGATATTCTTTTATGCAAATTAAATTCCTACGGTATTAGGGGCACAGCACTTACCTTACTAAAAAGCTATTTGACTAACAGAAAGCAGTATGTTATGTATAACGATGTACCATCAGAAACAATGGACGTGAAATTTGGAGTACCACAAGGGTCAATTCTAGGGCCGTTACTCTTCCTATTGTATATGAACGATATAGTAAACTGCTTTTCAGACAGTGAGGTGAAATTTGTACTTTATGCTGATGACACTAATATCTTCATATCAGGACCATCTAGAGAAGCAACATACAAAAAAGCCAACTTAGTACTTAAACATGTCTCGATTTACATGAAATGTAATCTACTTCATATCAACATGTCCAAATGCTGCTACATACATTTTAAACCTGCCTCTGAATATGATGACACCTGTGCACGGACCAGACCATTTGCTATCCTGCTAGATGAATCTAGATCAATATTCATCAATGGTAAGGTTATTACTAAAGTCAAGGATACCAAATTCTTAGGTGTTGTTATAGATAGTAAGCTAAACTGGATTGCCCACATGCACTACATCCGTAAAAAACTGCGATCTATGACTGGTGCAATCTGCAGAATTCGGCACTCGATACCTTCTGAACTATATTTGAAAATATATAATGCTCTTTTTGAATCACATCTCAGTTATGGTATAAGTGTGTGGGGTGTTGTCCTCAAAGAACGGTCCAATGATAGTCTTTTCATCACACAGAAGCACTGTATAAGGATCCTTTTTGGCGACCTTGACTCATATTTAGATAAACAATCAACATGTGCACGTACTAGACCATACGGTATGCAAAAACTAGACCATAAACACTTTGAAAAGGAACATACAAAACCCATTTTTAATAGATTAAAAATACTTACGGCTCAAAACTTGTACAAATATCACTGCATCTTAGAATTTTCTAAGATTATCAAGTACCACTGCCCATACTCCCTTTATGAGGCTATCAACATTTCAAACCGTGCAACGAGTCTCACGGTTATTCTCCTAAATAAATCAAATACCTTTTTGTTTAATGCAGCCAAGCTTTGGAACGCTGTTCATAAAAAAATTTTAACTTCAAGCAATTGCTTAGAAACGTCCATTAGCTTGATAAAACTGAGAACAAAAGCACTATTAATACAAGCACAGGCAGCTGACTTAAAAGATACTTGGACTCCAAACAATTTTAAATTGCAGTAATCAAGTCTAATTGCAGCGGCGCACACTTACTATTACTATCATGATTGTACTATAGACAGAAAATCTTTCAAATCGATTTTGGGCGCTTTTTAACCATTTGTTGTAATGTTTTTAGATACTAAATATCTAAATTTATAAAATTTTTATCGGAATGAATTAATTGATTGATATTTAATAATTTATTCGGTAGGTTTATCTGGTATTGATATTGATTATATTGATATTGTTATTATTGAACGAAGCTAACTCTAGACATAGTTAATACTACTTCTTTTAAGAAAGGGACTTGGAGTATAAACGACCAAGTTTGCATAAATTTCTATCCAACCAAGAACTCAGGAGGCAAAGGTGGGTGCGTAAACTTTTGGTCTGCACTCTCCGATCCTGTATCACCCTGGATTCTTCTCGACGTATCTTTGTAAAAGGTATATACCTTCTAGTCAATCTCTTGCTACTCCAAGTCCCCTAAGATATCTGATCTAAAGTTCGTGCTAGTTATATATATATAGAAAATATATTTTTGTCTGCTTTAATTGATACTAAATAAAATTGTTGTTTTCTTAAATTGTTGTTTTCTTAAATTAACACTGAGCCATTTAAAGATTGTCATAAGTTCTATTTTCATGTTTATAAATGTGCTTCTGCAGGTTTGATCAAAGTTGGTTACAGTTTATGACAGTACTGGCATGACCAATTTTATTGTGGCTGGTAAAAGGACCCAGTTGCTTGTAAGGGCTTTACCGAACCCTTGGGGACCACAATGTGATAGGATCAGGCCAGATGTTTCTATGTAGAGCAATTTATTTATTTCGGAGCTATGGTTACGTGGTATAGCTGGTGATGCAATTGGCAGAGCACAATCAAATTTTTTCCTGATCCATGACTCAAAGTGCCGAAGGCACAAAATTAAAAGAGTCAAGGACAAGGGTTAGCGAACAAGGTTTTTTTGTATATGGTAGCTTTGCGACCGTGCGACCGTGCGACCGTACCTGCCTGCACACACTGTAATCGCCCACGTGACTACCTGCGCAAAGTTATTTTGCGGAATAATCCGAATTAGCTAATTGTTGGCGCGCGGCGCTGAAGGAAAACAAATTTGACTGCCTCAGTAAGGTGAATAATTTAAGCTTGAAGGTGCCCTGCGCATTTACAGAACCTTATGCGGCGATCACATATTCACGAGGACCTGTGAGCGCCAAAATTAATTTAAAGTTTCTAGAAATCATACATCACTACGAGTTACTCATGCTTTTGGATTATCAGAGTGCGGATTGTCAGGTATTTCATTCATTCATACTTAATCGGTTTAAAGCTGTATATTTAGAACTCACTATTGTTTAAACTACGAAAGCAGAACGTAGATAATGGACAATATACCGACGACAATACCAAGGACCCGAGTGCCGCATTGACTTTTCCGGATCCGTTTTTACCGAAGGCTTATCCACCAGTTACTCATGCTGCATGTATAGTCTGATAATATTTTGTCTTATCTCTAGCAAGCATTCTGTAAATTGAAGTGTCGTATTTATTATAGAAGAGCCAGCCAACCTCCGCATTATAATCTTTTGTGTGCCAAGTTCGTTTATAAAATCTAATCATATAATAAGATTGATCCAATAGTCTAAGATGAACGGTATATCATAGCTCATCGTTATTAAAATCCGAATGGATGAATTAATCAAGTAATGTTCCCTTTCAACACAACTAAACAACAAACAAATGCTTGCTCACCAGTGGTGACGCAATCGTAGGGGCATGCAGTTGGTTCAGATAACTCTCACCCCGACGACGGCGTCTAGAAATTATCAAATTATGCATTTGCGCCATACTGGACACATTTTATATTTAATATTTTGTGGTTTGTAGAAATTAGTGTCATCTACAGTATAGCTTAACTGGCGAGCAAGCATCGTCCCACTCGGCCGGGACGAAAATACCAAGTCCAATCACAGAAAGTTAACCAAAAGATAAAAATAAGAGCTCGGATATCAACAAAAATCACACGCTCCAGACGACCGGGGAAGAGAGGAAAGGAAGTAACCAAGTACATTGTTAATTTCACCATGTACATATCCCACTAGGCACTAATTGATAGCATACTATTATTATTTTGAGTTACTTATACTATTTTGCACACATCCGTGTCGGGTGTCAGGTTGCATAAACAATAAGCATATGGTTTTTAAAAATATACACGATTTTCAAATTCAATATGGAATTATATTAACTTGGTGGCGCTTGGCCTGTCACTTCGCCATATCTGCATACTTATAAACAGTAAAAACTGGGGTCCCCAGGTTGTATAGAAAATGATAAAATACGCCATCACGGATCGGGAAATTGAGCGGCCATGCACAAAAAAAAAGCGGCCGCATTTCTTGTTAGTGTTGCAATTGGCAGAGCGCAATACATTGCTGTAACCAATATTTTAAAAATTTTAACAAAACACATGATCTACTCCATTATAGGGGCAGGGATTGTATGAGACTTCTGATAGATGAATCTCATGTTTGGTGTCCACCTTCTTTCCTCGGTACCCTCGTAGAGCAATAAGAGTTGTTTTTACTTAAAAAATTGTATTTTATTTATAGATATTTGAATTATGTCCTCAGCTGGTAGCATGTTGTGATACTATCATTTACAGTGCAGTGTGCACGTACATGTGCACTGAAGGGTACTCATACAAGATCCAAGATCTTTTGGCAAGGTACTCATAAAACCTTCAATCACGGATGATTCTAACACAGTCGAGCACAATTTCAAATACAAATTGTAGAGGAATTGTCAAACAATATTTAATTCGAACAATCTCTTATGAGATAACTATCTTAATGAGCAAGTACATTGCTGACTTCATCAACTATTTAAGCATGGCAACCGAAGCCAGCAGACCTGACAATGCTGAACAACAGGAACCCCCGAAAGTAAATTAAAAAAAATTTGCTACTATTATGAGCTAAATTACTGATTTGTTCAGTACAGTAATTAATAGTTAATTATCATTATCGTATTTTAAATTTCTTTCAGATATTTAAGGAATAAGTCTCTAATCCTCTGTTTTTCAGGGAGGTGTGTTGTGGGAATCACTGAGGTCTCTTTTGTTCATCTTAGGGACAGCAATTCTAACAACTATTGCTGTCAAAAACTCTGTTCATCCCTACATAGACAAAATATGGGGAGCTTCGGATGACTTTTGGGGTTCTCTCTGGAACTCCTTGTACGAACTGTGTGGGAGAAACAATTTTATTGCCCATGTCATTGGTTAGTATTACACAATCTAAATTTTGCAGACAAGGCAATCTCGTCATGATACTGTACATACATTTCATGTTTGATCATTGTCGATGTAATGGCTGGCTTATCCCTCAGAGCTATTATAAGTTTTGGACATCACAACAAAACAAAACAAAAATTGTTTTTTTTAAAGGAGGCTACATAATATGTCTCGTCTCTGCCAACATAGAGTCAATCACATTTTATTGTCATACTGTACAACTTAGTATTGTTAGCTTCTGTTAAGAAAATAGGTATTCTCATTTCTCAATCTTATGAATTTATTTTCCAGGTTCTCCGTTAAATGGTATTATCTGGTTTACTGTATTCAACGCCTTCTTCTTGATCTGTGACATCACTGGACACCCAGCTTGGTTGCTGAAGTACAAAGTTCAGGATGCTAAGAATCAACCCGTGAGTCAGCACAAGATTGTAAACACTAACAATGCTCTTATGCTACAAATTCGGTGTTGTTGTGTTGATAAATTTATAATAATATTTTTTGCTTTTTAAGCCAAAAATGGTTGATATGCTTATAAAATAAAAAAAAAACCTTCACAACCATTGCATGATCACCCAACAAATGTTTAAAGGTCGATAAGAAGAAACTGTGGAGTTGTATCAGAACTGCTGCTTTCAATCTTGGAGTTGTCAGTCCAGTGTGTTCTTTGGTCGTCTACCTGGCAACTTCGTACAGTGGATGGTACGATGATTGTTATGGGGAACTCCCTTCTTTCGAACGGATTCTGGTGGAGTTCTTGGTATTCAACATCATTGAGGAAATCTTCTTCTACTATAGTCATAGGTATGGCAAGAACAGAATTGATTTTAGTGTTCTGTTGCACGACAGGCCAGGACAGGCTGACATTTATTTCCATTTCTGTTTGAAACATTTAGCTGGAGAAGTGTCTGCAAGACAATCAGCTTATAATAAAAACTATTTTTCCAGGGCGATGCACCACCCCAAGTTGTATGCTAGATTCCACAAGAAGCACCACGAATGGACAGCTCCGATTGGTATAACCTCAGTGTACTGCTCACCACTGGAGATGGTTGTGTCTAACTTGCTCCCTGCTACTCTCGGTCCCCTCATCATGAGATCTCATCTGTTTGTGTCTTGGGTTTGGTAAGTTTCGGGAATCACAACAAGTTTATAAGCAGTTCTAACTGTTCATAAATTTAATGTTGATTTACACCATAGTAATTTCATGTAGATATAAACTTGCTCAAGTTTTGCACTATTGCATTGTTTAACTATATAATTTGATTTTATTATCAGGTTTGCATTGGTACTGTTCTCTACAACATTGGCTCACGGTGGATACCACGTCCCCTTCCTCTTCTCTCCTGAAGCTCATGACTACCACCACAAAGTGTAAGTGAAACAGCATCCTGTATGCTTCCTTTGTGCTCCTTGTGTGCTTTCAGTATGCTTCGTCATTTCTGTGAGCTACCTGTAATCTCCCATGGTCGAGGGTCCCAAATTACTATATTGCAGCTCATAAACTAAGATGTCTGTGATGCTGTCCTTACCGTGCTCCACATAACTAATATTTTTACTTTTATCAAAACTCCTAGGTTCAACTGTATGTTCGGAACACTGGGAATCCTGGATAAGCTCCACAAGACAGACAAGCCCTTCGCTGGTAGTATCCACGAGAAACGTCACTACATCTCCTACAGCCTCACTCCAATCAAGCAAATACTCCCCGAACCTGTGAAACGTGTTCAACAATGTGGAAAAGCTGAATAAACATCTGGAATGCGGAGTGAAACTAAAAATTACAGAATTGAACATTTGGAATTACTAGATTTCTGTTCTGTTAGAAGTGTTGCTTGTACATGATCTTTGTTCGTTATCTGTGTTGTGACCCTCCTGGTAATATTGACTGATCTCTTGATGACTCATATTTAAACCAGAAATTTGAAAACCTTTTTAAACAAACATCAGTGTATATATCATAATATCTTGAATTACCACTTTCGTCAGATTTCAGCAGTATTTAGAGCTCTGTTATATTGTTAGATAATTGCATATGATAATTTGTTGACTGATACGTTACAGTAAATAGTTATCGTTGAAAACGATCCATCTTTTATAGAAATTATTGAAATTTATGTTAAGTCCTAATTTATGTTAAGTCCTAATTTATTTAAAGTCCTTTAAATGTTATCTTTATATTATCCGTATAATTTATGTAACACGCTATTTAAGATTTCTGCATAAAACCGTACATAGTTCTTCTGCATTAAAAATGTAAACTCTTCTTTGAATTTTGTACCATACTGTATTTATGTGTTTATACCTCCTATAATGAGTCCTAATATTTTATACTCCTAATATATAATAGTACATTATGAGTTTATTTAAGTTATAGTAATATGACTAAATTTTAAATGATAAACTATATTTTCTTAATCCGTTTTGGGATTATGGAAAGCATTAATCATTGATTAAAACTTCTCACTGATCCGTGCCTATGACACGTGATCTAAGTAAATGTTGCACTTTAATTTTGATTACAGAAGGTACAGGTTGCAGTAGTTTAAAATTAGTCTTATGAAATCAGATGTCATTTTCTAATTAGGAATTTAAATATAAATCTTATATTGTGTTCTAGCTAATTGTAAATGATTTGTGCTTCGAAATTTGTGTTGCTGATTTTTTAATATGATTTTTTGTATGTTATTATAAATTTAACAGTAAAACCCTAGCCGTGCCCCAATATACCAGGAACCTCGATTTACCGATAGTTTTCACTTCCCCAAATTAACTTCATGTAAAAGTGCAAAAAGCCCCCCTCTAACCAGAAATATATTTTAACTTGCTTTCCCCAAGACTCGGTAAGTCGAGGTATTACTGTTTTGTTGTATCTGATAATTAATTTACATAATCGCGTTTATCATTGCTTAACTAATACTGTATTATTATCTTCAATCTTGTTATAAATTGCATTGGGCTTCTTGCCAAACAACTTAAAAAATGTTACTTATCAATTAACAATCACACATGACTTCTGACTTAACATTATTTCTCCCAGGAAGGTAACCAAAAGAGCATGTCATTACAAATCATAACAAATGCAGCCCAATCTAAACTTGTGCGGGACAAGCTTACTAAATGGGAGACAACCACATCTCTAAGTCAGCAGCAAAAAGATTGTGTGGTGGACCTAGCCACGTGGTCAGCTATTGATGAAGCAATAGATCTACCTTCCTCTGATATCATCTCAGTCAGTGAAGCTCAGGACCAGTCCAGCACCATCAACAATGCTCAACAGTTCTACGAATGGTTTCACTCAGTAGAAAGAGGAATGGAGTCTGATCAAGAGTCTGAGTATAGAGATTATATAAACAGTTTGAAGGAGCATCATGGGCGGTGTAACTCTGTTCTGGATGGGATAAGTAAAGCACTGGACCATCTGAGAGATCTAGGTGATCAGTACCGCACTGTATCTCTCACTACCGAGGCACTTCATGATAGTTGTGAGCTGCTGATGCAGGACCAGCAGGATTTAGAGCAACTCGGTACAAGCATCGCACAACAACTGGTTTATTTTACTGAGCATGACAGGATTGGCACCAAGTTGAACAGCAGTGCTATCAGTGTCATGGGCGAGGCTTTTGTGCCTATGTTGATTAAGATAGATGAGTGTGTAGAGTTCATGAAGGATCACCCTGATTACAAGGAGTCAGCTGTTTACCTGGCTAAGTATCAGCAGTGTCTTGTTCGTGCCCTGACACTGCTGCGCTCCTATATCGTTAATGCGATAAGAGCCACGGCAACTGCTGCTGTAACAGAGTTATCTGGTGCTGGGGGGCTAGTTCCTGGGGACCCTGCTTTCGCGCAGCTTTACTCAAAATTTCAATCTCAAGGTCCTAGAATCAAGGCTTTGATGGAGCAGATAGAGGACAGAAGTGAGAAGAACCCAGAATATCTGCAAGTTATGCAGGACTGTTACACTTGCTACTGCTATCAAAGGCAAGCTTTAATTCTCCCTGTAATAAACCAGGAATTAGAAAGATTGTACAAACTCCATGATAAAGATCACTGTACATTCATCAGAACAAGTTGCATGTCCCTCATCAGGATCTGCGAGGATGAGTTTTCATTGTACCACTGCTTCTTTTCTCGGTCTGACCTCATATTACAGGGGCTACTTGAGAGTTTATCCTCCCAACTCTACGATTATTTCCGTCCTATGATAATCCAACAGGTGCAAAGGTTTGAGCTATTGGCAGATATATGCAGTGTCTTGAAAAATGACATTTTCGAAGATCATGTCAATGCCAAAGGGGAATGCTTGGAAGCTTTTGGCCATTTAGCACTCCAGATGCTAGAAGACTCCCAGGAAAGACTAAGCTACCGCACTCAGGCATACATACAATCTGATATAATAAACTTCATGCCCTCAGCAGGAGATCTGGCATACCCTTCTAAACTAACAGAAGAGTTGTCTAACCAGTACGCTATGTGGTACCCAACAGTAAGAAGAAGCCTTATATGTCTGAGCAAGTTATACCGCTGTACTAACCGCTCAGTCTTTGAGAGTCTAGCCCAGGAATGCCTAGCAGCGTGTATAGATTCTCTGAAAACAGCTACCTTGTCAATAGTTGAGAACAGCTCACTGCTAGATTCTCAGCTGTTTCTTATCAAACACCTGCTGATTATTAGAGAGCAAATCTCACCGTTTGATGTTAACTTCACTGTTAATGAGGTTTCTCTTGATTTCACTAACCTGAAGATGGCTGCTTCCGGACTGATCACCAATAAGAATAGGATTCTCTCGCTGAACTCTAATAACGCTGTGCTGGAGTTCTTCTTCCAAGGTGCTCCTCAGTTAACGAAAAAAGTACTGGACAGCAAAAAGGATGTGGATATCAACCTCAAAGAGGTGGATTATTTTATGATATATTTCAAGTGAACTGTTATCTTTATTTTATATTTCAATACTAATTTTATGTTCAAATTAATACTGGTCTCCCTGGCAGATCTTCAGAGAATAATCGCAGTTTTGTTAATTTGATTGTAGTTTACCTTTCAGGCGTGTACAGACTTCATAACAACAGCAGCAACATTGCTCTCCTCCCCTATACATGCTTTCCTTGCCACTGTAGAGACCTCCACTACTCCCGCCACCATGGAACAGTGTAGGAATGTGGTATCAGAAACCACACAGAGGATATCCAGCAAGTTACCAGGTACTAACACTTTTTGATTGATTTAAATGTCCTGCACAGCAAATCGAAGCGTCTTTAAATGATTCACTATCTTTATTGTATTGCTGTGTAAATTTGATTATAATTCTAATTATAGGTATCAAGAAGTCAATGCACCTATACCTTGCAAACCCAGACACTGAAGCGATCCTCTTTAGACCTATTAGAGGACAGATTCTAACGCAGTTTGGGAATTTGAGGAAGGTTATCGATAACATGGAAGAGGAGGATAAGTTTATTATTAACTGTCCGTCTCCAGAACAGCTAACAATGACACTAGCTTACAATTAGTTAATTAATTAATTAATTAGTTAATTAATCAATTAATTGTCAGGGTTTTAAATACAGTGTGTTAGAAGCAGAATCTTGTTAATTTGTCTTTAACTAACCTTAAATGTTTGGAATTTATGACTTGTATTTAGCATGGTAAACACATTTTATTAATCGTTTATTTGAATTTGGTGCATGGAATATTGGAATATGGACGATATTTTCCCCGTTTTGTTTTTAGAGATTACAGTAGGTTGTGTACAGAATGCCTTGTTTTTTTTGCTGAAGTTAATATTTTCGTTAGAATTGACATATTGATTGTTATGGTATGGTTGAGATAGCATGTATTTTATTGTTTTACCATTTAAGTGATAATTAAAATACAAAATTCAACAAAAATTGTCATATTTTTATTTTGTATGATGATCCGCTGGCTCTCAGTCTCACCAAACTAAACCAAACCACCAGTAGGTACTATGACAATGACAGAAGACGCTACCACATCAGCGCAGAAGCGCCCTCGACCAGAGGAGATGGAGTTAGACGAAGAAGTGTCAGTCAAAAAACCCTCATTCCCTCCCATCTCACGAGAAAAGCTGAAATCAGATAAAACAGAGCTGAGGAAAGTACCGATACCGCCACACAGATACACTCCTCTAAAAGAAAGCTGGATGAAGTTATACACACCAATAGTGGAACAGCTGAAACTCCAAGTCAGGTTTAATGTGAAGACCAGGACAGTGGAGTTGAAGACCTCCGCGGAGACTGCAGATGTGGGCTCCCTTCAGAAAGCTGCTGATTTCATCAAAGCGTTCACTCTCGGTTTCGATATTGATGATTGTTTAGCTTTGGTTAGGCTGGATGACTTGTTTTTGGAAACCTTTGAAATATCTGATGTAAAAACATTGAAAGGAGATCATTTAGCGAGGGCGATTGGACGAATAGCAGGGAAAGGGGGCCGGACCAAGTTTACAATTGAAAATGTAACTAAAACCAGAATTGTGCTTGCAGATTCTAAGATTCACATTTTGGGCTCGTTTCAAAACATGAGGATCGCGAGAACGGCAATTTGTAATCTCATTCTGGGAAGCCCTCCAGCTAAAGTTTACGGGAAAATGAGGACTGTTGCCAGTAGAATGTCTGAGAGGTTTTGAAAGTTTTTAAAATCTAAAGCTTTATGTAGTGTTAGTTTTGGAAATTGTGACCTTGTTTTTATGTAATTTATTTACGAAGTTGTGAGGGTATTATAATTGATAATGAGGCCCTCACAAAAAAAACGTGCTACATTAAATTATGTAAGCTATGTCAGGGAAGCTATTTCTAACTCATGCCTTGACATGATCAAGTGAAGTTTACAGTATAAGAGAATTCTTGGTGGTGTCATAAATTTACATCTGTGGTGTTGAAAGTTCTAATTTATTCACTAAGAATTAAGATCGATATTCTTTATCCATTTTACATTTTAATATCGAGTTTGCCTGCTTTGTCGATGTATCTAGCTTTTACAACCAACAACTGTCACAACCCTAATAAAGTAACACTTACTCAGTTTTAACAACTGTCACAACCCTAATAAAGTACACTCAGTTGTAACAACTGTCACAACCCTAATAAAGTACACTCAGTTGTAACAACTGTCACAACCCTAATAAAGTACACTCAGTTGTAACAACTGTCACAACCCTAATAAAGTAACACTCACTCAGTTGTAACAACTGTCACAACCCTAATAAAGTACACTCAGTTGTAACAACTGTCACAACCCTAATAAAGTACACTCAGTTGTAGCAACTGTCACAACCCTAATAAAGTACACTCAGTTGTAACAACTGTCACAACCCTAATAAAGTAATACTCACTCAGTTTTAACAACTGTCACAACCCTAATAAAGTACACTCAGTTGTAACAACTGTCACAACCCTAATAAAGTAATACTCACTCAGTTTTAACAACTGTCACAACCCTAATAAAGTACACTCAGTTGTAACAACTGTCACAACCCTAATAAAGTACACTCAGTTGTAACAACTGTCACAACCCTAATAAAGTACACTCAGTTGTAACAACTGTCACAACCCTAATAAAGTACACTCAGTTGTAACAACTGTCACAACCCTAATAAAGTACACTCAGTTGTAACAACTGTCACAACCCTAATAAAGTACACTCAGTTGTAACATTCTAATTCCCGTTAACAGTACTAGGGAGGCAAAGCCTCCCTAGTTTTAGTCACACTTGCTCACTTGCTCACTTGCTCACTTGCTCACTTGCTCACTTGCTCACTATATAGCCAGGTGATGTGATTAGAACTGAAGGGGTGTTTTGGATGTCATATGCAGTGCTCTGACGAGAGTGAGCCTCTTTTAACCCTACAGGAACGTTCAGATCTTATAAACGCAGAGTTCACCCCTCCTTTCGTCTCCTGTGATCCTAAGTTACTGTCCGTCTTCGTGGTAGCCTTCGACACCAGAGCAGGTGACTTTATCAGTATATTTTAATGAATTTGTAATAGTTACACCAGAACAGGTATTTTAATGGATTTGTAATCGTTATGAAAATTATTTAGTTTACTTACTTAGCTTATGTAGGTACTCGTATGTCCCGGGGAGCCTATTTAAAGCCTTTGCTCAACTCTCAGTAACAAGAATTGCGCCCGTTGTTTCGTTTTGGCGTAAGGTTTTTTTTTTCTGGGTGCCACAGACCCACCCAATGGTGCTGACTTTTTTGGGTTAAAGACCCACTTTTCCATTGAATGTGGCTCGCTGGCTGAGCTGCGCTCGCAGTAACAGTTCACCACCAAATTTTGTAATCCAATTTTTTGAACTTTCCCTATCAACAATCTTAGAGATTGGACTAAATATTACATTCCATAATTTAGGACTTGAAGTTGATGACCTTCTTCCGTCAGATATATTATATGTACTATTCATATATATATATGCAATATTCCACCACATTTTGGTTGATAATTTGATTTCCAAAGTCCACTCATACATATATGGAAAACTTACAAATACCCCTTAAAATGCTGGCTTTATACTTACAGTATAAAGATGTAGGTATAGGTCAGGGACGTAGCCAGGATTTTTATTTGAGGGGGGCTGTCGGCGAGCGAAGCGAGCCGACGCGTCCAATCCGACGTGTCCAATCCAGCTGCGCAGCGAGCGAAGCAAGCAAGCTATGGCAGGGGTCCAGGGGCGGAGCCCCTTGGCAAGGGCTAGGGGGCGCAGCCCCCCGGAAAATTTTTGCGAAACAGGGTGTTTTAGACGACATTTGGCATTAAAGAAATTTGTAGGACAGCAATAAACTGGGATTGAAAAGAATCAAGTACTCACGTAAATTTGGTAACTTCACAACAGCAATCTGCATTCTCCAATCAATTTACGACTTACTCAGGCCTCATCGTCTTAAGATTTTTACATTTCCTACGGTCTAGGGGACACTACTGACTATTTATAGAAGTCTTCTAGAATGTTTGCTTGGATGTTATGACAGATATTTACTAATCCACAGTTCAAATCTTTGACTGACTGCAGTAATAAACACAGCCCAGTTACCAGGCGACCATGGGGGAGTAGACACACAGTTGATAACAACAGACCCACTATCAATATCAACAGACCCACTATTTCATCTTAAAGACCCACAAGTCAATCCACAGACCCATTTCAGAGTAGCAAAGACCCACTATTAAGCGAGTAGACACACACTTAATAACAACAGGCCCACTATTTGAGCTTACAAACCTACTGCCAATAACAACAGACCCACTTTGTAACCTTACAGACCCACAAATAAATCTACAGACCCATTTCAGAGTAGCAAAGGCCCACTATTAAGCGAGTAGACACACACTTAATAACAACAGACCCACTATCAATATCAACAGGCCCACTATTTCATCTTACACTTACAGACCCACAAGTCAATCTACAGACCCATTTCAGAGTAGCAAAGACCCACTATTAAGCGAGTAGACACACACTTAATAACAACAGACCCACTATCAATATCAACAGGCCCACTATTTCATCTTACAGACCCACAAGTCAATCTACAGACCCATTTCAGACCCATTTCAGAGTAGCAGGGACCCACTATTTTAATAGTGGGTCTTTGCTACTCTTAGCAAAGACCCACTATTAAGCGAGTAGACACACACTTAATAACAACAGACCCACTATCAATATCAACAGACCCACTATTTAATCTTACAGACCCACAAGTCAATCTACAGACCCATTTCAGAGTAGCAAAGACCCACTATTAAGCGAGTAGGATGTTATGACAGATATTTACTAATCCACAGTTCAAATCTTTGACTGACTGCAGTCATAAACACAGCCCAGTTACCAGGCGACCATGGGGGAGTAGACACACAGTTGATAACAACAGACCCACTATCAATATCAACAGACCCACTATTTCATCTTAAAGACCCACAAGTCAATCCACAGACCCATTTCAGAGTAGCAAAGACCCACTATTAAGCGAGTAGACACACACTTAATAACAATAGGCCCACTATTTGAGCTTACAAACCTACTGCGAATAACAACAGACCCACTTTGTAACCTTACAGACCCACAAATAAATCTACAGACCCATTTCAGAGTAGCAAAGGCCCACTATTAAGCGAGTAGACACACACTTAATAACAACAGACCCACTATCAATATCAACAGGCCCACTATTTCATCTTACAGACCCACAAGTCAATCTACAGACCCATTTCAGACCCATTTCAGAGTAGCAAAGACCCACTATTTTAATAGTGGGTCTTTGCTACTCTTAGCAAAGACCCACTATTAAGCGAATAGACACACACTTAATAACAACAGACCCACTATCAATATCAACAGACCCACTATTCAATCTTACAGACCCACAAGTCAATTTACAGACCCATTTCAGAGTAGCAAAGACCCACTATTAAGCGAGTAGACACACACTTAATAACAACAGACCCACTATCAATATCAACAGGCCCACTATTTCATCTTACAGACCCACAAGTCAATCTACAGACCCATTTCAGAGTAGCAAAGACACACTATTAAGCGAGTAGACACACACTTAATAACAACAGACCCACTATCAATATCAACAGACCCACTATTCCACCTTATAGAGTATAGACCCATATAAGTAAGTCTACACTGTAATAAAACACATCCAAGCTATCAACAGGCCCACTATTTGAGCATGTACAGACCCTCATTAACCATGGTCAATTCAATCCTTACCTCACACCCCCCCCCCCCCCCCCCCCAACAAAATATGTTGTTTTTTTTTCGTTTCAGACAATTTTAATTTTTCGATGAAAAATTTGAGGCAAGGGTGCTGGCACCCTTGGCACCCTATAAAAAAAAACCTTATTTTGGCGGACGCTAGATTTCCATTTCACTATAACTATTAATATAAGCTCTAATCAGCTCACCTTATAATAATAATATTGAAACATTAGTACACTACGCGTGCCACGTTCAAGTTGGGCTTATTACAAAATACTATACATTAGTATTACTAGTATACATTAAAATACGCTCGTGCCGCGCATTCATTGACCACAGACTAGCTATACACCACATCTCCGCAAGCAATCCTCGCGCGCGTGTGCACGGCAAGTTGACATGGTAACGAACGGAAGCAAGCAAGCAAGGAACACGACATATTCAGACCCGCCTACTGCTATCTCCAAAATCCACGTTTTTCTGCAAAAACGTCCATTCGTAACCTTTCACTATTGCCTTTTTTCAAAAGGGTGAAAAGGAAAAAATCACATCAGTCAATTCTGCTACTTTCTGACTTTCTGAGTTTTGCATATTTTGAGACCTGCAGATGATATATAATGTAGCTACTCACCGGGGGATTCCGTCTCTTAAACCTTTAAACTTACCGATTATATTTATCAGGGAATGTGGTGGAATGGAAGTACCCAGAAAGTTACTCCCTGACAGGGGTAGAGTTCAAGGCCCTCCCCAGTGGAGCTCACAACGTTCAACACGATGTCATGATATTCGAGTTGGCTAATAACTTTGGTTTAGCAGCTTATATCATGAAACAGGTGTGTACTGTGTGTGTACTGTGTAGTCATATATATATATATCATCTTCATTTTGGATAATTGATAAATAAAATATTTGTTACATCATGCATGGGTAGAGAAAACCTTGTTCTGGTAACCTTGTTGTCTGCACAAGAGCGATTCTAACTGCACATCACATTTGTTGTGAACAGACTTTTCTCAAGGCATGCTTTATTTCAGTACTACATTATAAAGCTTTACCAGTCAGCTCACATCTACCATGTACAGGTCGACAACACAGCAGAGCGAGGTGCGCGTATGAAGAGTGTAGGAGTAATAACCTCCAACTATCTGGCCCTCTGCCAGCACGAAGAGAGACTTGTAGAATTAGCACACGACAGTGTGGAGCACCCTGGCGCGTACGAGCAACTCATTCAGTACTTTGCAGAGTTTAACCAGGGTTGTAGTGTGCCTGTGTCTCTGGAGATGAAGGCTAATAGTGTGGGCAGTATGTACGATCTCTTTAAGTCTCAAGGTTTGTTAGCTCAGGGTCTGTTAATCTGCTCACCATCTTTTGTAGTTTTGATAGATTACTGGGGACGAAATGAGAAGGGTTTTAAAATTTATTTATTCGAGTTCCTTTGTATTTCCATCTGTCTTAAGAGAAGCAGATTGTTAGAAGTAAAGTTGTAACGTTCTCCCCAGGCGTACAGATATTCACACTGTGGAAGATGTTACTATTGAAGAAGAGGATTCTCCTCCAATGTACTCCTCCAATCTCCAGACAGTGTAGCTACGTGATATGTCTGGCTGCTATCTGTCACTCTCAGTTCACTCAGAGCAACCCTCTTTTCTATGTTACCGTGAGTACTTCTGTCTTATCTCGTTCGCTTAGTTGGGCCAGCAGTTGAATCATGCAACTCACTGATTTAACAATTGTAAGGTAGTACGTTTCGTGAAATGTCGGGGTGAGATGTGCCGAGATATCTCAGTAGACTGCTAATGTTTCTTTCATATTATCTCAGTGTTCCTTTAAATAACCGTTAGATACATGTCTAGCCCGGTTTCTAACTCTAAACATGTCAGGTAAACGACATGACAACGTTAAACTACAAGCAGTCCTACATAGCCTGCTCAGCTGACATGATCCTTAAAACTAAAGGTAACCAGCGCGGCGTATACACTCATCATATTGTAATAGATATTACTTATTAGTTTCAGTAGTTTAGGGTCTCATCCATTTGGAAATTATCCTATGAGAGCACCTATCAAGATATTAAGTTTATGACCCTTCAGGTTCGCAGGTGTATGACGTGTACGTGACAGGAAGTGCGGTGGTAGATCCAAAAGGGGAGATGTTTCCTGTGACCAGGGGAGATATTATCAGATACAACCAACTCTGTGGTCAGTTATTTTCATGCTTTGAGGATTTTAGTTACTCAGAAACGTTGAGGATTTTATCTGAATTAAGTAAAAGATCGTAAATATTGTACATTAGGAATGATTTTTGGACTATGTATTTGTTTCACAAACATTGAATTGAATATATGAGCAGGTGCAGATGGAGCATCTGTCAATATATCAGATAACATCAACATATCAACATTATATCAACACATCAACATATCAACATATCAATATTTCAACATATCAACATACCCCAGGCGCAGTAGACAAGGAGTACGGCAAGAAGAACACATCAGAAGTAGATAGGTTAATACAGGGCTACTTCAGTGTACTTACCACGGACCTGTTCAACACTCTCACTAATCTCATGACTGGAAGTAGAGGCTTGCAGCCTGACGATCTTAAAGATATCCGGTCAGTACTGTCTAACTTAGGGGGGGGGGGGGGGGGGGTGGAAGTAGAGGCTTGCAGCCTGACGATCTTAAAGATATCCGGTCAGTACTGTCTAACTTAGACAGTGTCTGAGTTAATGTTTCTTTACTTACTATTGCTATTAGTTAACTATCAGAAGTGTGAGAGTTCGGAATTTGGTGGTTTAGATACTGGATTGTATTTGGTAAGTTGACGTGTTTTGCTTCAGTGTTTCTTCTAAACTTATAACTCATCAACACTCAAGGCAAGTGCCTGTTGTATCTGTATGAGTAGCAGGAAATGACATACTACTAAAAGTAACACTTCCTTGTGTTACGTACTATTACTGTGATAGTGTGACTTGTGTCACATTACGTTTAGAAGTTGTCATGTAAATGTACAAAGTATGGAGCTCCTGGGTGTCGCTAATTGTTAATTAGGATTACTAATGTTCAGTGTCATGATTCGTATATGTCACATAACTTGATGTATTATGTGATCTGTTATATATACACTAATTAGTTACTAATCAGTACGTTAGTTAACTGAAAAGTGTTGTATTTTAATATAATTACAACACTACAAATCTATTACATTTATTGAGGATGTAACAGAAGGTGTAATATGTATAATGTTGATTTAGGATGGAGAACTCCAAATTCCCCTCCATCCTCAACTAGACTTTCACTTTCTCAACATGACGTACCAAACTCTTGCAGGTTACACAACAGTGATTTACCTTACCTGCAAACGTTAGTAGACAAGCTAGGATACGATGTGGAACTCTTCTCTCCAAGTTGCTGTGAAGAGCACTTCTCGTCCCTGATCTAACATTCTTTTAACACTCTGTTATTTAACACACATTGCATTCCTGTTAGCACAGATAACAGATTTATAACTGTGTTAGATAAGCTGTTGACTAGATAAGCTGTATTATAATGAAGACTGTAAATTGTATAGAACACGGTGTTTGTTGTACTGTTTATTGTACTGCACACAGTTTATTATTGTCCTCCAAATGTTCACTGTTTTACCTGTTATTTGCAAACCCTATCAATTAGTACAACCTTGGACTATAATTATCACGTTCCTTTTGTGTTCCTCATCTTTGTTTTATATATGGTAACAAGTAAATTTTATCAAATTATAGGAGTAGACATTAGTCCTGTTATTTATCTACTAACTCTTATACTATTACAGTCACTATAGCAAGTTTCTTAGTTTTACGGTCTTCTTGAAACTGACACCCGTAACACCACTGGGTTAAGAGAAGGTAGAGAATACAGTGTTTTAGTTTGTTCGTGGCTATCATAAATAATAAATATGTAGGCCACATTTTTGTTTCATTCCTCGACCTGTCAGATATGGCCAAGGGTTTGTCATCTTTAAACTGCGTGCATATCATTTTATTTTACAAATATAAAGAACTGAATACTTGCGGGGAGGCGAGTTTAGAAACGTAACAGTGATTGTTTGTTGGAAGCAGAAAGAGGTATGTAATGGTATGTAATGGTATGTAATGGTATGTAATGATATGTAATGATATGTAATGGTATGTAATGGTATGTAATGGTATGTAATGGTATGTAATGGTATTCAATGGTATGTAATAGTATGTAATGGTATGTAATGGTATGTAATGCAAATGGTATGTAATGGTATGTAATGGTATGTAATGGTATGTAATGGTATGTAATGGTATGTAATGGTTCATTCCCCGCCAGTATTCAGATCTATTGGCTCTTCGAAAATTTCATGATTGACTCATATTTAATTATTTATTGTGAATTGGAAACACGACAATTTTGTATTGATTTTGTGTTAAATCTCTATTCCTGAAATGAATTTGTAAAGTTATATTATCAACTTTTGTTTCAATGTTTGATATTGTACATGATCTTTAACTGCCCCATGCAATATTTGATATTATGATTTGTAATTAATTCTTGTTTTACTTTTACATTATGTCAAGATTCTTTTCCAAATAAGCCGAAATTTTACAATATTCTTGATATATCCATCTCCTAACACAAATTATTGTTGTAGATGCCAAAAGTTACAGTGTGAAGCTAACGAAGATTTCATAATGGAAACAAAAACTAAATTTAAGTTACTGAGTTATGCAGCAGTATTGCTGTTTCTTTACTTCAACTTATGCTGTTTTATTCTGCCACTATTTGAGGATACTGCTGTCATCTCAGGAATGTTCCCACACAAACAATACGCAGGTAAATTCCTATCATAATTCACTCTCATCTTTAGCGATGTTTTAAGATGATACCTTCTGTTTAACTCACAAATCTTGGTGAACTTTTGCTCTTGTAATAATAAATTTCAAACAGAACTATTCTGTTTGAACGCCGTTGTTTGTATATAATACCTTTGTTGTATATTCACCTTTGTTGTATATTCACGAGGTTCTTAACGATTAATTAGGTAACCTTTCATTCATCCTACCTAATCGTCAACTTGAAGAAAACAAAAAGTTCAAACATTATCGTTAAATTGTAACCAGAAAACTATTTCAGTTGTCATCCCAATTATATTCTTCTCGACAGCAGCAATGATAGCGTACTGCATGTTCTCAGTACTGCGATCTAATAATCATCAGATAAAACTGAGATATTTAGAAAATAGAGATGGAAATAATACTAAAAATGGGACATTAAAAAGCAGATGATGTTTTTTGTTTGTTGTATATTATTATTATGAGATTTTTGAATTTCTAGATCAATTTTGTTAATTTTGTTTATTAAATCTCATTTGTTTTGAAATTTGTTGATATTGAACTTACATTGATTGATGCTTTATTGTATACATGAATTTGTTTGAAACATAAATTGTCATTGTTTATCCAATCCATACACAACAATATTATAATCAATTATTTCCTGTGCTTATTATAATTGATCCTACATGAAAATCCTTTTTAATTAAAATTTCTTTAAACGCTGACAATTTTAAACACAATTGCACGCTACAGGATGAGATAAGAAGAAAGTCCCAAATACTGATAACTCTTGAAAAGCGTCACGTGACGTAACCACGTGCCATGTATTGGAAGCTATGTGTTGCTCTTCTGTTATCTCTAACTCAAGTATCTCACCTTAAATACGTGTCCTCTGTCCTGAACGCAAACTGGCGTGGAACTCCTCTCTTTCTAGAAACCAGGTTTGCGGTGGTTTTTTTTTGTATCTTTTGAAATGGAGTCGACAGATACAGATCACTATGCACCCAAACATTATCCTATATAATACATAACTTTATAAAGTCTGCAACCCTGCTACGAATGGGAATCCTGACATTTCCTGAAAGTGTATCACTTAAATGGGTCAATTGTGTGAATGGCTATGCACTATTTTCCTTGCGCACATTAAATTCGAGAACTAAACGCCTAAACATTTCAGTGAGTTCTTTGCCGAGGAAGACAGCGCTTTGTTTTTCAAGTTTGCTGAAGAGTTCGGAGGCGATGAAAGTAGCTCCTCAGAAAAAGGTAAGTGATCGGTCACATGTGCGAGCTATTGTTCGTGATACGCGCTTGTCGATTTCATATTGCAAAGCACATTTTCCAGCATACATATTGCGCGCTCAGCTGCGCGGCGAGGATAAATTTTAAATTGTACGTATCCTCATGGTGTTTTCCAGAAGTTGTCCTTCTGATCTAGACGAGTATTGGCTGAAAGCCAATCAAGGCGCAAGTTACACCGTACAAATTCACATCACCAGTCGATTAGCTGCAAACTTTATACGGCTATTTCGATGGAATGTTGAAGATTAAACAACCTGTCATATTAATTACAGAACTGATAACCTCCACCAGTAAAACATCTAGTCCTAATATTCTGGCAGCACTTTTTGTTGTGACCAATGTATTTATTTTCTCTAGGCAAAATCTTCTTTAAGTTTCAGATATTATATCAGATTTTAGACGATATTTGACCAACAACAAATTTCAGATGACTACGAAGAGCTGATAGAAGCTGCATCTGAGATGTTACCTACTGTATCGGTTTCACTTCTCAAGCTGTCATTATCTCTCAGGCAGTACTCTCCAAGGCTGGATATGTTTAATAAGGTAAATGGCCATTAATTTAATCATCCCATCTCTCATTATTAGCTGTAGGAGTTTTTTTCTAATGACCACTTCAAATTCACTTGTTTGAATTCCAAACATTTCAGATAGCAGAGTCAGTTGTTGGAAATCTGGGCTGCAACATATTCCTCCAGATAGCCACCAAACCTCACTGTTGGACCTCAGACTCTGAACAGCTAATATCATCCTCATCCTCCAAAGATCGTGTTAAACTTATAAAATACGATCATGTATACCGAGACAATCCAGAACTAACTCAAGTTATACTATACTGTGATATAAGAAAGTACCAGTGTCATGAGCGACACATGAAGCTCATCAGGCTGGCCGATCTAGGTCAGATAAGTTACGTGTTCCGACATAATTACGAGCCAGGAGCTGGAAAGGTTCAACTATCTGGGTATGGTGTTGAACTCGCTGTTAAAAGTACAGAGTATAACGTTGTTGATGATACGGTTGTAACTGAGGAAAACAAAGAGGGTTTGAAGAGTGGTGAGGAGGAGGAGGAAGTGGATGGTTTCAGGTTTGGGTATTTGAAACAGAAATATCCTGATAAGGTGGACGATTTGAATAAATTCAAGGAATTTCTCACTGACAGCAAGAATGCCATGTTGCCACTTAAAGCATGGGAAATTGCTGATCTAGGTTCGTGTTTGATGTAGTCTCCTTACCATTTAGTACTGCTATAGTATTCACCTTTATTGAACCTACCTTCCTATTGATATTAAGTTATTTCATATTTCAAAGGAAAACTGTTCGCCAGATATTCTATGTTTTATTTTAGGTTACCAAGCTGCACAGAAAGTGGTAAGTGCTGCTGCTGGAGAAAGTCTTTCCGTCCTCTCCAAATACTCTCAAAATCTGCCCTCACTTGCTCGGTCACTCAGCAGAACAGTCGTCAAACCTGAACTCAAAACGGAAGTAAAACAGGTAGCTACAAGTTGAATCTCATTTCTTAAATACAATTTTAGATCTTTTTGAATGGGTGAACATGATAACCTGAAAACAGTTCTAAACTGTGCTAAACTGTACTATGAACAGTGGTCGGTGTTCATTATAGAATCTCTAAATCAGATATTTTTCACAGAATCAGAAAATACTGGAGAGGTACGGAGTGCAGCCCGGCAGCAGTGTGTTACTTCTTAACGGCATGTTAATTGATCTAGAAGGTGCAGATCCTTTCACGTAAGTATAGTTTTATATCTACTTTAAGTGCGGATTTCTGTTTTAGCACTTATCATAGCGATATATATTTCTTTTTCCGGATAGAAAGTTATAACTTTTTTAATTGACTGAATCGTCTTAACTTCTAGAAATCCGTATGTTGTTTAGGTTGCTGAAAAAACTCCGCTCTGAAGCCAAGACAGTAGGTGGATTATCCTCACTAGACATATCATTCTCCGATATCAACCAACTCCTCAAGTCAGACCTCTTCAAACACACTACCAAATATGGTGTTGATATGAGGGACGATGGTTCGTCAAAGTTATTTGTATATTTCTCCAATGATTGACGTAATGTGACAGTTCGATGTACTTAGCTATCGTTGTATATTTACTGACTACTGACACAAGCTTCGACTATTCAAATTTAAATCCTGACAGTTTTTGGGAGAACACTAAGATATTGTCTAATGTGGGAACCCATAAATCTTATATGCTAGTTGTCAAACACTGAATATATCCCCAACATTAAGAACAACATCTAAACAACAATATCCTCACCTCCATCCCCTCCTCAGCTGTGCTGTACATTAACGACCTAGAGAAGGACCCCCAATACGCGCACTGGCCGGGTCAACTACACGAACTACTCCGACCTTCCTACCCCGGAATGTTAAAACAACTCCGCAGGAACCTTTACAACGTGGCCTTCCTACTCAGACCCGGTCACCCTTCCTGCCAGATACTGGTTAATCTTATCGCTGCCTTGCTGGAAAACAATGCTCCTGTTAGGATAGGTACTTATGCGGCAAACTTCTAGAAACTAACTTAATTACTCTAACTCTTGCACTGCAAACATTTCGCAGTATTATTAATTGATACAGAAGGAATATTTTCTGAAGTAACAATTTCTGGTTGCAGGTCTGATATTTACCTCGGATTCAGAGGAGAGTGCAAGTAACATTGACTCCGTCATCCCCGCGATGATAAACAAGATCATGGAGACAAAGGGACGGGTAGCTGTCGGTGAATTCCTTGTCGAGGTGGGGTTACAATATTACATACTGATCATAACTCATATCATGTATATATGAGGACTGAAAATACCATAACTTTCCCCTTTGACATGGCTCTTCAGGCATATTCTTGTCTGGACGCAAATTTTTACAGTTAATTTTGATTTCGTGTTTCCAATATTTCTATTCTAACAGTAAGCACTTTCCAGCTAACTGACGACGGACTGACACTTGACAACGCCCGATCTGAGTTTAGTGATCTACTGGGACTGCAGGTCACAGATGAGTTTGTCTCAGAAAATAACCCCCTGGTTGTGGCGGGAAACCAACTCCTTCTATCCTCAGGTATTTTGCAATTACCACTTAATACATAACTGAGTACAAAATATGGGGAGGGGGTTCAGCACCACTCTTCATTTATTCCGAAAATAATGATCACCCTCCCTTGCTCTTCAATTACTTCAACTTTATAGTGTTGGTTTCCACAAATCATCGTTGTTAAATACGTCAAAAAATTGGCTCAAAATACGGCGTATTCAATGTTCGAGAGAAATACGTAAGAATACGTGAAGTTTCCAATCAATAAGCCCGAAAAAAATGAAATTTAGACCCTGTTCAATTTTGTCCGGAATACGTCTAAAATTTGTCCGAAATACGCGCGAAGATCAAAATTTATTGTGAAAAATCGTTCCTACTCCACAGTGGAAATCGAAATACGCTAATTTTCGGTGACAAATACGTTTGCGTATGCATACGTTTGCTTGAAACGCTACGTATTTAACAGCATTGCCACAAATTACCAGGTATTACAAGTGTCTACTGTATGACACATAATTACACATGATATATATGTATATTTGCAGGGTTAGCTGCCCCGTCAATGGTAGTAAACGGCGTGGTGCTGGACGACCTAACCTCAGCTGAGGAAACTCTTCTAGAAACCCTGCAAGCTCAACTACCTAAACTACAGCGTGCAGTATATTTGGGGGAGGTCAATGATAAGACAAACATTTTAGGTTGGTACATATTACTATGCTATGTAAACTTAATGGTTTTAACTAACAATTAATTACAGTTTTATATAATTACTAATTAATTACAGTTTTAATGACATTGACTTTCAAATATTTTACATAGTAACCAATTAACAAAATGTGATACCAACGGCATATGCATTGCGGGCAAACGGCGATTTCACCTTCCTTAATAGGTCTGCACTCTGCAGTCATTTCTGCAACTGTTGGTTGTCCTAGTCCCTCCCCCTCCCCCCCTAGCCTGTCCTATTAATCTGTCTCTGAGCCTCTTATACTTTACTCAGCTGGTAATGGGGGCTGTACTAGTTCTCGTAACGATATTACTTCATTTTGAATTTCTTCATTGCGTTCATTAAATTGGGCGTCTTCGATGTTTGGATTTTCTTCCGGATGTAACCCCTTTCGAGAATAAAATCGTACCACTTTTTCATAAAACCTCCTCATTAGCGAATTGAAGAAATCGTTATAAAATAAAGGATTGATAACAGAGTTGATGGGAAGGAATACTATTGAGATAAGGGCATAATAGCGAGTTGCGTCGATAACACCCAACGAGTGTAGACAAGAAGCTAGGGTAACTGGTAGCCAACAGAGGAAATCTGACGCGATTATTAGAGCTATTTTGCGCTGTAATCTTTTGTTTCTTTTCCTGATCTCGTGTCCCCCTATCTTACTCTTAGTCAGCACTTTGGAGGTTGCTCTGGTGTCAACGTTGATGAAGATGTAACATACCGAGATTATTGCGAAGCAAATCATGTTCATTCCTAGGACGGCCCAGGCATAGACTCGTTGCGGATCGTCTGATTTTACGAAAAATTTGAATAGACAAACCCCCTCATTGCCGTAGAATTCAAGTTTCTTTCGACCAAGTGCATCACCTCCATAATCACTCGAAAACATACCATCAACTAGATTATTTATAACTCTCCATTTGAGGTTTTTATCTTTAATTTTGCCATAGTATTCCTGTATGATGCTAAGATGGATTTGTTTCCCCGGAGCCCCGATAAAAAGTCGTGTAGATGGCTCGTATGTCATGCCATTGACAAAGAAGTCCTCAAATTGAGGTACCAAAGGAACCACGGCTACAGTAATAGACATCAGAACGATAGACGTTGCAATTATACAAATACTGCGCATATCTGAGCTGGTGGCTAAATCTCTGATTTGTGTTCCATTTCTTATTCCCATTATCCTCACCAACCCAAGCATTGTCATTGATAGCAGAGAGATCTCGTATCCGACTGTGCTGATGATTCCTATAACAGAGCAACGAACACTTGATAGCCAGTTAAGTTGTTCAGAGCAGTAGCTACTCCCGTAAATGATGGTGTCCATAACCGCGATATTCAACAGATATACCCCGCATAGCAAGTCACCTACATTTATCAGAAGAATCAGCAATTTATTGTTAAGAGCAGCTTTTGACATTTCTTTTTTGAAATCAGTTGAAGTACTGTAGAGGGATATGAGGTTAAGAATAATGGCCAGCAAGGCTAAAGACCAACACAACAACTTGAGGAATGTGTTTTCTAAGATCTCTCTGCCGCATTCTGAGTTACACTCGTCGGAGTAGTCAAAACAGTCAATATTTCCATCACACTTTTCAGTGATTGGGATCAGCTCCTCCTTAGACTCACACACAAACAAATTGGTACAAAGTCTTTCGTCAGAACCATCCCCGCAATCATCGACTACGTTGCAAACTTTGTCATAGTCTAAGCAAATGTTGTTGTCACAGCGGTAAAAGTCATTTTTGTATTCATTTCCTGATTTGATGACAAAAGAAAGGAAAGTATTGTTAGTGACTGTGTAAACTCTGTGAGGATATTGCTGAGGACATGAATCGTACTGTATCTTGTTTTTTAAAGGACAGATCGAGTCTTCACAAAACCCTGCACAACTCAGTATCAAGTAAATTTCTCCAAAGGTGTAGTCACAATTAATAGTTGTATCAGGCGGGGGGAGATCCATACACTTAGTACCGGACATCACGTTGGTGGGTGGGTCATTTTTTCTTCTAAAAACACAGTTAGTACATGGTACTAACTGGTGGGTCTACTGCCCATTTTCCTGAAAAACAGTTAGTACATGGTACTAAAAGGGGTGTCTAACCCCAAAAAAAACCCATTTTACCTCAAATTTCAATTTTGGGAATGGGTTTTGAGGTTTTTAAAAGTTATTTTTTGGGTTTTTTTTTTAATTTTTAAAATTTTGTAAAGTCTTCCTTTAAAAATTAAATGAGCTCTTTTAAAAAAAAGCAATTTCTGGGTGGGTATCTTATTCTATATTCCAAAAAACAGTTAGTACCACGATTTTTCGACAGTTAGTACGGCAAAAGGGGTGGGTGTCTTACGTATTATCCAAAAAAACAGTTAGTACCGCAAAGGGGGTGGGTGGGTCTAGTGAAAAATATCCAAAACTACACTTAGTCGACGTGATGTCCGGCACTTGGTACCTGATCCCCCCCGTATCAGGACGGACTAACGTTAAAAATGGTCGAACTCCAAAAACAGCAAGTCCGGACAGGTTGACTTCATTGATAACACAATGGTTTGCTGCTTCCTGCAGACGCTCCAGACCAGGCAAGCAATACATCAACACTTTCTCAACTCCAGCTGACTTCTTGACAGTCATTGCATTGTCAAATGTTCGGCTGATCCCATGTGACTTCTCACACATTCTCCTCTCACTACCACATGTATCAATCCCATCGCACAGATTTTTGAACTCTACAAAAGCTACTTGATCATGTTTACAAAGGAAAACCTCCTCGCAGGGTTGATTGGCTGACACGACATATCGTTTAGTTGCACCAATACCACAAGTAAGCCACCCATCCTCCTCGTCAATCCTGTCTAAACAGTCCTCCACCCCATCCCTCAGCCATGACAGAGGTATCTCCAGATCGTGATCGTGCTTGTACGCTCTGTCACACACCCTCTCCGTCTTGGAGGAACAGATGGCCAACTTCTCGTCGGACCCATCAACACAGTCCTCTATCTCATCACACAGTTGGTGCTTATGCAGCTGACAGGTTAGAGACACTCTCTCACAGACCTGGTCTATTCTGTTATCACACAGAGCTGGAACTCTGCCAAGTCTGTGGCACACAAAGTATTTAGACACAGTTGAGGGGTATCCTCCGATATCACAGATCACTGATGAGCGATTTGTATCCGTACAGTTTGTTTGATCCAGGAAGTTCGCACAAACAGGATCTAAATATGTATTATCTGAGTCATGTGCAAAAGGAACTCCACACCTCGTATTATTCAAAATAGGGACAATCAACAAATACGGTGTCTTGGAAGATGGATGGGAGTATTTTAAACATTTGTCTTGGCTGTTCAAAGAGTCAAGATCTGGACAGTTCCGTTCATCTTCATTATTTGCGCAAGACGGATATCCATTACACACGTCATTTGGTTTGATGTAATATGTTGTTTGTTCCCAGCCAATGCAGTACATCCCGTACAGATAGCCACCACACAAAGCCTCGTCTTCGCAGCCATAATCATAATGGAAATCGCACCATCCGTCACACACCGCAGAATTAGCCATTTTCAGGCCTCCCCTTAACTCAACTATTGTGTCCTTTTCAGTTCCAGCAGCACAAAATTCTTCTGGTAGATTGAGGTTATCACAGCCTTGCGAATAACGACCATATTCGTCAGATTGAGTTTTAATTATATTACAGATCGTTTTCGACGAAGCAGAAATAGCAGGAGTATCATCACCATAGAACAAAGCGATGTCATCTTCAGTTTCACAGACGTATTCGTTACAGAACACAGCACCATTTGTTAAGGTCTGTGATGGTTTGATCCCACAGTACTGATAGAAATGAGGGTCATTGTTACAGATAGAGCTGAATGTGGTAACAAATGATGCAGGTTTTGATATGTACATCGTGTCAGAATAGGGGCAACTAAACACTGTGAATCCAAAATCTTCAGTGCACAATCTTTTAAGGAAATTATTCCTCTCCACGATGGGACAACTGTCCTCAAAAGGTCCACAAAACAGATAACTGGTGGGTGGAAGGCCTATCTTAATCAAGCTTTCCTCCGTTGGTTTGATTTCAAACGTGGATAAAACAGTACCATTTTGATCCACAGAACAGGAAACGTCGTTAAATTCTAACGTAACGATTGTGTTCCTGGGATTCAAATTGGGAAAGAACCCGGATGCAAGCTTGTACCCTAACTGCTGGCAGATGTAGTTTGGAAGACAGTCTGAATAGTGATCAGCAAATAGAATGGGTCCAGAGATCTCGCCAATCTGAACGTGTAATAGACCAAATCCATTCGTAGCATTGGCTCCCTTACTGTTAAGCAAGTAGAATGTCTCGTAGCCTGATTGAATGGTTTTATGTCAGCCCTTCAGAAAATGAATAAATTTGACCCCTTGTCGCACATTTACTTTAAATCTAAAAGCCAAATATGAAGTTTCGCTGGCGCATGCACCAGATTCAGTGCCGTAACAAAGGACCCCGCTGACCCCGCAGTTCATGTGTATATCAAAAGGCCAAACACAATGCATTTCAATTTGACTCGATCCAATCACTGAAAATATATAAAAAAACGCGAAAATTATGGTTCATTCGGAAAAAATGAACGATTGAACAACGATATTATTTGAGGAATACATCAATTTAAATGTTACACGTGGTTTAAATACCTGTGTAAAGAGGCAACAGAGTTAGTACAAGTAATAACCAGATTCTATTTGGCATGGTTCTGTTAACTCAAACTCCTCGTATGTTGTCAGTTGTGGTTACTAGACTCCAAAGATGTAGCAAGTCCTTTCGATGGGTCCCCGGATTGGATCCACTCCAGAACTCCCAAAATTATACCATAAAAGTCTTTATATCAACGTAACAGACCTCCCAATTCTTGGAATTGACACTTAGTGCTCCATTGAATTATTATGAACTGATATAAGACTATTGAGTGGCTCGTGAGCAAAAACAACGTGACAGTATTGAGTAAACTGCATTAAGTAAACTGCATATTGCCAGATCTGAGTTCAATTTGTAACGGAGTTTTATATTAACAGGAAACGATGTACCTTAATTCCCAAAAATTTGGGCGACCAAAAATTTGAGCGGGCCTCTCGCCCAAATTTTTTGCAGACCAAATTAATTGCATAAATCTTTTCCGTCTGCTAAATTTTTTGCTAACCAAACTTTTGGCATTTGGCCTGTGGCCCTGAAATCTATAGAAAGATGGCCTTTTCTTCATATCCAAGTGAAATGATATTTGAAATTTTAGTTTTCTAATCTGTCATTCATGGCTTGACCAAGTAAAAAGGCTTATATTTTAAATGAATAGAAATAACTGGAATTAGACTTCAAGACCTTTGGTCCGGGTTTACAGTAGTTCGCTACACACAATTATGTACACCTTTGTTTCCCCCAAAGCTAAGCGTATGTGCCGCTTAGTTTGATAGATCATGATGTAAACCTTCTAATTTTCTTCCAAACCTTTCGACCATCTGTTGAGGCGTCATAATGATAAGTGTATGTGAAAGGGGTATGATAAGATATGCTGAGTGTAAGTAGACTAAACTATCTGATTGAGAGACTAAATATCACTATTGTATATCTATCATTTTGTACTGTGCCTGGTGCCATCATCACTGTATTTTTTAGTAGTTACTGGGCAGATCGTAAATTTCATAATGTGAAACAACTCAGACTACCACCTACATGCTTAATATTGAAAGCAAAATGACTGGAATAATAAGGAATAATAATGAACTAAGGCAAATATCTAACTGACATTTTAGTGGAAAATCGTTCATTTTTCGAAAAATTTGTGCCCAAATTTTCGGTCGCCCAAATGAGTTCAAATTTTCTGCCCAAATTTTTAGGGCTCAAATAAATTGTGCTCAATATAATGGCACACAAATTTTTGGGAACTAAGGTAACAGAGTCGATATATTTTAATGTTGCCATGGGGTGGCAAGTCCCCATACATCGTGGTCCGGTAGTTTCATTGCGTCCTAATATTAATCGATATAATACAGTTGCTGCTCTCAACTATTTAATATTTATTAACAAATACGGACACAGCTCATTTTAGAAACAGCAGAAACTGAATCTGAATCACATTAATAAACTACATGTTGTTATATTGAAAAAGGAAATCAGTTTATAACTTTATAAGGGGTTTTAAAGCTGGATACTTAGTAAACTACCAAGAGACACTTAGCGGTAAAATTTAAGCGCAATCCGACCACAACTTTCCGAGAGCATTCTTAAAATTGTAATGTAATACTATACGTATATTGGAATATCTAATGTATGATTCAAGTAAAATGGAGAGAGGAAAATTCTTGAGAAATTTGAAGAATAATTTGAATAATAATAAGGTCAGCACCTCAACTCTTGCGTCAGTCTTGTACCCCTCTTACAGATTCCTAATAAATTAGACGGAGAAATAACAACCATCCGTACTCCAGCGTGGCGGACACTCCGGTTTCTGTTTGAAGTGGTCCAGAATCCCAGATAATAACTTGAACCTTGATCAATGATTACACGCAACTTCAGTGTATTGCACTTAACTAACATCTTGTTGCTTTAGATTCTCAGAAACTAATACTGGTTTTATTTTCAGATTGGTACATGCAAGACGCCAGTATCCTACCCAGGCACAACCCTCAGATAATGGACCCTAAAGCTTACACCTTACCCTTGGCTGATCTAGACAAATCTGGTACCACACGACACACGCATAATATTGTTTAACGACTACTTTAAATCCAGGGCTTTTTAAAAAATTACTTTCAATGGTCGAACCCTAAATAAAATTGCTGGAACGAATTAAAATAAACTACATAATGCGGGGGATCTCATATTATGAGTGATGACTTTCAGGCCCCCAATATACTGATCTAGACGAGACATTAAAGGAGAGTAATTGGCTGGGTGCCGAGAAAGCCCCCGTTTCCATGGTTATAGTAGGTGATTACGAGTCATCTCAAGGAAAACAGCTCCTTCTTTCAACTCTTCTATCTGTTGAAAAGGTAAACTCTCAAGTTATAGATTATAATGACAATGTAGGGGGTTATCGTTACCATGCCATGATGGACAGGATACTGTTGGACAATGTCAATATTTACTGATTTATAATTATGGTTTATTGATTGAAACCATTTTTAGTTATAATTACGTATAAATCTAAATACTTGCCCAGAGCTAAACAGTATACAGATATAGCTTTTCAACATGATTAACATCTAAGACTATAAGTAACCAACAACCTCCCAGTTACACAATAAAATAATTCCAATAAAGTTAACATCCACCACCCCTAGTTACAGCAGAGTAGGTTCACCCTCCTCTTTACCTCTGATACAGACATGAACTACAGAGTGTGGTCAGTACTACAGAACACGCCCTCTGACAAGGTAGTGGTGACAATGAGGGCTGTATTGCTAGGTGATCACGTGGAGTTGGAAGAGAGATCACGTGACGACTTTTCTGAGATAGTCAAGTAAGGAATTTTCTAAGAAAGTCTTTCTTCTTTGCTCGTTTGTAAAAGATCTTGGACAAGAATGCTACTTAAATCATTTCACCAAATAAAGAAGTGTTAGTTCTACCAGCTATTGAGTTAATAAACCACCAGGAAGCACTCAGCAGTCGCCCACGTGGTACTACACGTGACCCATGGCAACACTGCAGTCCTGTGTAATGGTCGCGTAGTAACGCCTCTACATCGCGCCTCTTCGGAAGACTTACAGCTGATTGAGACCTTGGAGCTGAGGAGTGGCGCAGGTTTTACAGAAATATATTGGTAGATGTAAAATACCGTAAAGATTTACCCTACTTCAAAGTAAACAGTAGAATAGAACTTAATTTGATAGTGTTTATGTAAAATCTGAACGACTGAACTCTGAATCTCAACTCGCAGAGAAGTTGAAGGAGATAATGACTGGATACAGCAGTGACGTGGTGATGAGAGCCGCCTCCCTACTGAGGCGACAGGAGCCTGTAAAGAGGATATCTTTCCCTGAACTGAAAGTGGAACACTCGGCTGCTATCGTACCGGGAGATGGTCCCTTCCAGGTGGGTTCTACTATACATTATACATTATACAGTTTACATTATACAGTATACAGTATACATTATACATTATACATTATACATTATACATAATACAGGGGGGGGGGGGGGCCAACCATATTAAAGTATATTAAAGTATATCCCCGGGTCAAAATCGGAAAAAATCCTACATTTTAATATACTTTAATATACCTACAATTAGAAGATTTATATTCTTCGTTAAGATTTACATGATGAACTATATTTGTCACTCATATTCGCAAGATAAGCCTGTTTTAGGACTAGTACATGAATTTCCATCCAGATTGGTCAAAAATTGGCTGAGCTATGAGCTTTAAAAAGTATGCCCATATTTGGGCATACGCTTTTGCCCAAATTCGCTTTAGCCCAAATTCGATAAAATTTCAATATTTTTTAATGAGACTAACTCTATGTGAAAGATATAACTCAGTGTTTGTTGAATATAGTGGATACTAAGTAAAAAGACCTCCATGAACAAAATTGGGAAAATTGCACATAATATCTCGGTTAGGAATACTAGCCAAAATGACTTCATTAAAATTGAAATAACTCCATCAGTTTTCAATATTTTTTCAAGAACTTTTTGGAATCGATTAAGAATTGCATTTCAAGCTTATTTAGGGCAATAATTTTTGATGTAGGCCTCCAAGAAGATAGGGATTTATTAAAGTATATTGTAGGTATATTAAGTATATTAAAGTATATCCCCGGGTCAAAATCGGGAAAAATCCTACATTTTAATATACTTTAATATGGTTGCCCCCCCCCCCCCAATACATTATGTACTATACTTAAGCTTAGTGTACTAGTGTACTAGGGTATACTACTATACTACTATACTTGTTGTCTTTATTTCAAAAATTTTCTCAGACATGGGTCTCATCTTCTCGCATATTGGTACTATTACCTGTCACTGTTGATTACAAATAACAATACAACTCCTATTTTTCTCCAGGTAGAAGCAGTGTTAGACCCCCTGAGTGCTGGAGCACAGCAGATATCCCAAATACTGCACGTGCTTCACTCCGCTGGCCTCATCACTCTCAGGATATTCCTTAACCCCATAGGTACAACCTACACAGTATTACTTACAGTTACTACGTACTACAAGCATATCTTTAATATTTCAATCAATAACTGGGGATGAAATTAAGATCATCGGGCCATCTAATTTTGCTGTAAAATTGCCTAAAAATAACAATTTGTATTATTCCAGATAAGCTGTCTGAGATACCGGTTAAAAGGTTTTACCGGTACGTGCTGGAACCTGAACTACGTTTTAATGGAGATGGCAACATAGCAGATACAGGCAGCAGGTATGCCTAATTTAACTTTGATGACATTTTGTTCGGACTTAATAATAATTTAAACAAGTTTTGTTCCAGCCTCTCTGTTGCATGGCACGTGCGTAACAACAAACTCCCGGTCAGGTTTACAGATCTCCTGCCCCACCTCCTCCTAACTATGTCCCTGTCCACTCCTATAAACTGGATGGTGGCTAGTACCCATAGCCCGTACGATCTGGATAACATCCGTCTCAACGATGTGGAAAAAGGTTTGGGGCGTTCTGCCACGTGGGCGCCACGTGCTCTGCCACGTATTCTGCCACGTATGCGCGCATATAACATTTTGTCTTACTCTGGACTGCTATGTTGAGCTCAATTTCAGATTAGCAGCAGAGTGACCAACATGCCCCTCTTTCAGTATGATTAGCAGTTGCCGGTATTCTAGAAAACTATCATATTGATACCGCGACCGCGACCGATCTATAAGAAATATACAAATTTGATCAGCAATAAAGATTTCTGTAGAAAAAGATTGGCGTAGTATTGACACTGGTCCGTAAGAAACAATATTAGCATTATAAGCCGCAGAGTGGTGACCCATTGCAAGGCTTTTCAATAAACCATAATATCGTGATGGTTCTCAAGAAATCTACTAATATAAATTGAATCTATCAATAAAATAGAGAACATACAAATAACTTTTAACTTGCAGGTGTTTACGCTGAGTATACACTAGAATACCTGGTAATAGAAGGCCACAGTCACGACCCCACCAGATACAATAACCCTACCAAGGGGCTCCAGTACGACCTGACGTCCGGGGACACTTCACACGATACCATCGTTATGGCTAATCTGGTGAGGAGAACTCATTTTTAATTATTATAAATATCAGCTTCAGGTTCATGTTTGTTTGTGTAGGAAATATTTACCAAATATTTACCAATATACTCTTGAGGTGAGAATCCGATTTAACACCTGGTTACTTTGTCAAAGTTAAGAATTTCCCAAATGTTTCCTGATTGTGGTAGTACCAGCCACTCGATCTGAATCTTGTTATTTCAGGGATACTTCCAGCTAAAAGCAGGGCCAGGTCTGTGGACCTTGTCTCTGAGAGACGGTCCCAGCAAGGAGATCTACCAGATAACAGGAGTAGAAGGACCTGGTGACCTGGAGGGGGAGGGACAGGTTCTCGTCACTGTCGGGGATCTTACTAGCACTTTTATTACTGTCGAGGTGAGCACGGGGGGAGGATCCTGAGAATAATTCATAAGAAGAATAGGTTTCAAAGTTGATATATTATGTAATTTTAAACAAGTAAACTAAATGCATTCTGCTTGTAGGCGTCAAAGAAAGAAGGAATGGCTCAAAGGTCCATATCTGCAGAGAATGAATCTCAAAATGACGATAATTCTGAAAGCTCCGGCATATGGAGTTCTATTAAAAAGTAAGTTTCTTGTTATAATCCGTGTAGGATGCAGTAAGCAGTTAACAGTTTTGTGGTTTTCAAGTTGATCGATGTAAATTTATAAGTAGTTTTTAGATTATCCATGTCCTGCGTATGAACTATTTATGTTCAATTGTGATATTCTTGTCATTCTAAGACTGTATTTTGTATTTTGTATCCTATTTCTTTGACATATTCATCTCTCTAGAGCAGGAAATAGGTATGTGTGCTCAGTGCTGTTTCTTACTGTATATCAGTGCTATTTCTTGCTACTTTTTACTTTTAGCTTCAATATTACTTAAGCTGGTTGATCTATGATTCATCTTACTATGATTCTGATTGTTGATTGCTTGCAGGGGCTTTCCCGAATGGACGTCTTTATTTAGCGCGTATGTGTAAAGCACTAAATTAGCAGTGATTAGAAGAATTAGCAGTGATTAGAAGCACTGAATTAGCAGTGATTAGAAGCACTTTTAACAGAGCATTAGTATTCAGTATTTAGCACTTCTTTTAACATATTGTATCAGTAGTCAATGACTGGACAGGGTTATTGAAAATAACATTACATTGTATGTAACCATGTTGACCGTTTGTTTTAACCCTTAAATACTAAATAGTTCCTTTCTCAAAAACCCCATTTAGACACTGCTCCCCCGATTAAGTTCGAATAAACATTAAACATGTATTATGAACATAATAATATAAATAAGATAGCAGCGCTGTTTTAATTTTCCGGCATTAGATAGGATGACCAAAAGTGATCGTTTTAAAATTCATTCATCTTAGGAATCGAGCAAACAATCATGAAAGTTACTTTTGTTTTATTAGAATAAGGCTGTGAATATAACCAATCATTTTACTTTTTAATTTGCAGCATCGTGGGAAGTAACGCAAAAGAAGAAGGCAGTACAGTACACGAGACGATACATATCTTCTCTGTGGCTTCCGGGCATTTGTACGAGAGGATGTTAGGGTAAGTAGCCTAGTAGAGTTATTTAGTCAAGATATACTCCGTTGCTTCTTCTTGCTTCGGAGCAATTACTTCTTAAAGATTCAATTCAATTATGACTTCGAAACTCTTCTCTCAATCAACGCAACTGTGGTATCTAAAAGCTTTTATTATCTCAGAGTGATGATGCAGTCTGTGCTGGCTAATACAAAGCTTTTATTATCTCAGAGTGATGATGCAGTCTGTGCTGGCTAATACAAAGCTTTTATTATCTCAGAGTGATGATGCAGTCTGTACTGGCTAATACAAAGCTTTTATTATCTCAGAGTGATGATGCAGTCTGTACTGGCTAATACAAAGCTTTTATTATCTCAGAGTGATGATGCAGTCTGTGCTGGCTAATACAAAGCTTTTATTATCTCAGAGTGATGATGCAGTTTGTGCTGGCTAATACAAAGCTTTTATTATCTCAGAGTGATGATGCAGTTTGTGCTGGCTAATACAAAGCTTTTATTATCTCAGAGTGATGATGCAGTCTGTGCTGGCTAATACAAAGCTTTTATTATCTCAGAGTGATGATGCAGTCTGTGCTGGCTAATACAAAGCTTTTATTATCTCAGAGTGATGATGCAGTCTGTACTGGCTAATACAAAGCTTTTATTATCTCAGAGTGATGATGCAGTCTGTACTGGCTAATACAAAGAACCCTGTAAAGTTCTGGTTCCTGAAGAACTTCCTGTCTCCCAAGTTCATCACTTCCGTCCCCACCATTGCTAAGGAACTGGGATGCGAGGTGAGCGTGATATCTTTAAATATTGAATATTGATGCTTATTTCGCAATAAAGTGAGTGTGTGTTTGCATGTAGCAAATATCTTGGGCTATAAAACTATCATTACTTTCACAACTTCTATCCAAATTCCAACAATCACTTGTTACTTCAGATCGAGTTTGTCCAGTACCAGTGGCCCAGTTGGTTGAACGCTCAAACAGAGAAACAGAGAATAATTTGGGGCTACAAGATCCTTTTCCTTGATGTACTCTTCCCAATGTCTCTCAAGAAAATCATATTTGTTGGTAAGTGCAGCTTATAAGAAGGAATGTACTGCGTACATTGTACAATGTACAATGTACACTGTGTACACTGCACATTGTACACTGTACAGGCCTCAATCCTGTTCGACCATCTTTGACTGCCTAGTATTACTACTGTTAACTGTATCATTTATTTGTGTCGCGAAAGCTGAAATTTCCAAAATTTTCATTCTGCATCAAAGTTTCCTACTCGGTCAAGGAGACGGCAGGAAAGCTTCTCTCCAAAAATCTTCCAAAATCTCTTCTTATATTCGGATGATTTTTCGTTAATCAAAGATTTCTTTGGAAATAGAACTTTCAGTTAGTTTCAGTACCTCAATCGTGTCTTGTGCCATCCTCATTCCTCACTCCTCAGTGACCTTGTTAGATGTTCATTCAATAAAAATTCAGTTAAAACAGTGAAGTTTGGGTCACGGAAAGCTGAAATTTGGAAATATCCCAAATGTATTAGAAGTAATTAAACCTTAACAAGAAACTCGTGACCCAGACGCTGATCAGATAGTAAGAGCTGACATGAAGGAACTGATAGACCTGGATTTGAAGGGGGCTCCTTACGGTTATACTCCTTTCTGTGATGACAGACCGGAAATGGACGGGTTCAGGTAATGCTACACCAATTTGAGAAACTGTATAGAATTCATTTGTGAGTAAGTAACAGCGTTGTTTTCTACTCAGAATCCTGCATTGAACAAAGCAATTGTTTCATCTATGACAGTTTTTTTTTGCCATTCTTCAATTTCCAAAAGTAGCTACGTTATTTAAAATTAAAACTATCCAGATTCTGGAAGCAAGGGTACTGGAGGAACCACCTAATGGGTAGATCCTACCACATCAGTGCTCTGTATGTTGTGGACCTTCAGAAGTTCCGACTGATCAGTGCCGGTGACAGGCTGCGTGGACAGTACCAGGTTTTTAACTCATTATTCGGGTTTTTAACACGTTATTTATCTCTAATTCTGTTGGCACCTGGTATTATTTTCAGTAACTGTTCCTCTGGAAGTTATCCTCCCTTAATTCTATAATTTCAGGGACTCAGTCAAGATCCGAACAGTTTAGCGAACCTGGACCAGGACTTGCCCAACAACATGATACACCACGTCCCCATCTTCTCACTACCTCAAGAGTGGCTCTGGTGCGAGACTTGGTGCTCCGACTCCAGCAAAGCAAACGCTAAAACAATCGATCTGGTCCGTTACCTATAATATTTGGAGCTTTAGTTTTAGAACCTCTTGATATCAGAATTGTGCATGTTAATGTTTTAATTCAAATCGTTTTCCCCACAATACCGATATTTATCCGTTTAACTTAAAGCTCTACGAATTGAACCCTTTTCTTCGACAGTGCAACAATCCCCAAACGAAAGAACCAAAACTTGACCGAGCTAGGAGAATCGCTCCTGAATGGGTAGAATATGATACTAAACTTAGGAGGATTTTAGACAAAGTAGTCGTCGAAAGTGAGTACCGAGATTTAGAACCAATTTGGGGCTGTCGTGACGATAATTGTAGAAAGTTTGTGCTTCTCAAATTCCTCAAACGTTGATAACGAGAAGACTATTCAGATAACAACAGAATTTGTGAAACCTTTCTAATTATTATCTTATTAGTTCTTACAACATATAATATGTAGAATAAGAAAACTGTAGTCCGTCCGGACTATTCTATGTAATAACCCATATTCCCCTATCAGGTAGCGAAAAGTCCAAGCAAGAGAGTTCTAGTCAGTCACGCTCCAGCTCACATTCAGAATTATAAATTAATTTAGGTTAGGTCACGTTAAATTTAATGGGGTATTACTAAAATAGCGGCCTCTGTTAGATAATTCTTATGAATTGCAGCTACGATTACAATTAACAGATTGCTGTTTTAATTAATTCATATTTTAACCTAGGTTCCTGTAATTATGGGTTTAATATTTTACTTTGTTGTGTACAAATAAAGGGCCTGAAGGAAAGGATTAGTGCTTGCTCCATTGCTAACTTGTTTCATAATAACTCTGCGCGATAACGTTGTATTGGATCTACTATTCTATATGATAAATTGATAAGACTCTATTTTCTAATGATCTTTCCATCAATTGTATCAACTAATGGTGTTTAAAATAACTGCTAATTAGCTAATTCCGTGTTAACTAGTTATCATAATCATTACTATAAATTCATTGTATCACTCGAGAATAAATACGTTCAATTGATAATATGTTTATGACTGCGTTGAATGTTTTGGGTTTGAATAGATTGATGATAATAGAATGCTATACATTTTTAAAGTTTATTTTCCCACTGTTTTATCTAACTTCGAATCATCAGAATCTGATATCGTTATATAGCGTTTTACTCAAGCCTGCTTTGAGGTCAATTCATTCAAGAATCCCAATAGAAGTTCAGATGACAATACAAAAATGTTTTACTCAATACTCAACGATAGGACATAATATTGTTTCCAACATGCAGCACGTTATGTATGTTAAACTTAAATATGCCGCATGTTCTGCATGTTAAACATGCATGATCTGCATGTTAAACATGTTGAGTATGTTAAACATGCTGCATGTTGTGTAAGTTCTACATGCCCTAACCTCTCGTATCCAGGTATAGTATGGATAATCTGCTCCCTCGGATACATGGTATCGAGCACAGATGCAGATCACTATGTGCTCTGGAGGGCGAACAGGAGGTCGTATCCTTTCTGGTCGGTACTCAATCTATGAAACAGGACAACATAGTGAGTCTTTATTAGTCTTTCTTAGTAGTGGTATTAATCGTATCGAGCCTTCAAATTCGGTCTTGATGTTCTTTTAAACTATATGGTTCATTTAGCTTGAACTGGACAGACAAGAGAGAGTCTACTAATAATAGATAATATTGTGGTTGTAACCTTCAATCTTGTTGACTTGTTCAGGTGCACTTGTTTGAACTTGACGAGGAGTTTGGGGAGCTGAATGACAGATGTTACCACCACGATGCTGGCGAGGTGTGGCATGTTGCTTCCTCCCCTCACTCCAGGGACCTTATATCCACCTGTCATTCTCATGTTGAGAGCGAGGTAAGGTACACACTAAACACTACACAGATATAAGGAAGCAGAGAGGTAAGGTACACACTAAACACTACACATATATATAGGGAAGCAGAGACAAAATCTGCAGTAATATAATCCTTACATTTTACAATTCTAGATAAGCTTAATATCTCCGGAATATTGTCAAGTCTTTAGTTCACAACTGTAACTGTCAGGTGAACCTAGAGAGTGGAGCTACAGTGTGGAGGCTAGGTGGGGCACCTGAGGAACCTAAACTGGAGGAGCTGGGTCATGTGTCTGCTCACAACTCTAATGTTGGTTTTTGAAACGTTGATTTTTCTTTCATTTCAAGCTGCTCACTAGGTATGAAAATTGTCGTGTGTTTGGGAATGTTGCTAAATTCCAGATACATACTTTGGCCCTCTTCGCTGCCAGACAACTTCGCCCAATTAAGACTTCCCCTAATTTCACCTCTTCTCCGTTTGAAATTGTAACACTAACCTCCCAGATGCGAGCAACAGAGTGGGGTGTAGAGGGATGTGAGGGGTCTCTCTGTTCCCTTGGAGACACCTCCCTGGTCCAGTGGAAGATAGACAGTAATGTCAGGGAACACAGTTTCTGTGAACTCCCAAAAAGGAGCTGCCCCACTTCACTTCGGTGGAATCCTCACTCCTCTGGTGAGCTGAGCGTTAAATTAAATATAGATTTGGACACTGCGAGGTGAGTCATATTGTTCTGCGAATAACCAAGCAGCTTTTAGTATTGGCCAATGGCCAATCAAACCCCAGAATTACTGTCACGTGTTGGTACTTCACGTATTAGAACCGCCACCTACTAGCATCTATACTAGATCTATTTATGAATCTCTTTTGGCATCAAACAATGAACAACTTGCTAGAGCCATCATAAGAAAAGTTTGCAACAAAGTTACAATTTAAATAGATCTACGTTCTGTATTGTTGACAACTACAAGCGGTAACAAAATATCAAGTACGGCAACTAGATTTTGAATTATATACATAATAAATACATAATAAATAATGAATTCTAAAAGGTTTGGAGAAATTGATAAAAATTGCCAATCTAAAGGAGAGGCTCTGCAATAACCTTAAGAGCCCGAAGGACAGCATATCCCACTTTCTCCCCAGTTTAGCCTACTCACAGTTCAGGTAACCAAGGCAACCTCCAGGTAACCAAGTAGGGATAGCCTCAGACCAACACATCCGACTACACGACCTGCGCACTATGAAGTGCACCACAGTACTCGATAACGCCCACACCCAGACAGTACGAGACCTGGACTTTAACCCCAACAGACAGTATTACATGGCCACCTGTGGAGACGACTGTGCCACCAGGTTCTGGGACACCCGGAACTGCTCACAACCCCTTCTCTCCTTCTTCAACCACTCTCACTGGGTCTGGAAAGTCAGGTAATATAATATAGATTATTGATTCTTTAGAGTAGTGTAGATTAATTTTATTTTTTATATTTATTTATTGTGAAGGATCTACAATAATTATTGATATTGTTGAATTATAATGTGCTTAACATAATATAAATTGATGTACATATTTGTAATATCTTATTGAGGCACATGCCACCCCATCGCGGGTTTACTATTTAATTACTACTACTACAGGTACAATCTGCGAGATCAACTGTTACTAACGGGAGGGAGTGACAGTAAGGTGGTGTTACTGAATGTGGCCTCTCTTGCTTCTACTGATCCTGCTACGGAGGATGAGGAGGAGGAGGGGGAGAAGGAGATCGATCACAACAAGGTTAGTGACTTCCTGTGAGGTTGTGTTAAAACGCTAAATTTGATCATTATGTTTTGCGTCGCTTCAACAAATCTGTATGAATAACAAATTAAAAACTCTGCTTTATACTTCACTTCTATTTCCACTACCCTGCCCAGGAGCAGATGAGAGAGGGTGTATTAGAAGAGTATGACAAACACGAGGACTCCGTCTACTCTGTAGCCTGGTCCACTGCTGATCCCTGGCTTTTTGCTTCTCTCTCTAATGACGGTAGACTTGTCCTCAACAAGGTCTCCAAGGAGATCAAGTTCAGTATTATTCTCTGAATGAGTCAGCGCTGAGAGTTGTTTTATGCGGCTCTATATTATGAGAAGTTACATGATGACTATGTTAGGTCAAATCTTTTAGCTTTTGAACTGTTATTAAATAATTTCAAAAGACGTTTTTGTTTATTGACGTTTAGATTTTTTTTCTTTTTGATGATTTAAATTTAATGCTGATAATGTTTCTGTATTCGGATTACCGCTGGACGGTTATGGTTGTACTGTAAATAATATTGTATTAGATAAACTGAATTGACAAAACATTCCAGCAGTTTTAATCCTTTGACAAGTTACTCCCTCGATCAAGATTGAGTAAGCTACGATTGGATTTCTTGTTTTCTTCTAATTAACTTATTAATCTCAGTCAACTATTGTTATATAATATAATAATATAAAACTGATTTTAGCTATAATGGACCGGTACAACTTCCAGTCCCAACTAGAGCACTTACAGTCAAAATACATTGGCACCGGACATTCAGACACAACTAAGTTCGAGTGGATGGTCAACCAGCACCGGTCAGTAATTACGGTAGTTAATTGATTTATAATTGTTAATTAATTTTTAATTATGTGGTTTTTTCCCTAACTAATGAGGGTAATGAGATTCTGTCACTAAATCCCTGATAATAACGTTCATCTCAACAGGGACAGTTTCGCGTCCTATATTGGTCACTACCCCCTCATGGACTACTTCTCCCTTGCTGAGAACGAGACCAAGGCTAGAGTTACATTTAACCTTCTGGAGAAGATGTTGCAGCCATGTGGACCCCCTCCAGAGAAACCAGACTGGATGTGAGGACCCGGGATGTGGTAGTGACGTCATAGTGACGTCATGATAGTGACGTCATATTAACAGTTGCAGTTGCTATACCGTGTCATGTAAAACGATTCAGATTGCTCCCGAACATTGCAGATTTTGTGCTGAATTCAATTTGAATTGTTCGGTGCAGTTTCGCTGAATATAATATCACTTTATTGCATTGTTTTATCCGAGTATGTGAACAAAATTTTCATTGACGATTGATGAAATTCAAGAGTTCACTTAACGATATCAAAAATAATATTTTAATTTCTTGCAAAATCTAATTTGTATTTTATTCTTATACTAGTATATTTGACCATTTTAACAAAATTGCTGGCTATATAATATTAAATCTTACAATTGTCAATCTCCATTAAAATATTGTTTGTGATTATGCCATATATAATATAACCTCAGCACCTTTTGTAATATTATGTCCCTGAAATGACGTTTGTTTGAAGCAAATATTGTTTGAACAAATATACAAATATATTTGAACAAATATACAAATATTTCATTACAACTATTTCATTACAAATATTTCATTACAAATATTTCATTACAACTCACTATAGCAATGAGCGATCCGGTAGTAGAGAGATATTTTTCCACCTGCAGGTCCCTCAAGAAGAGGTTCCTGAGGAAACCAAATATCACCGAGGCTAGAGACAACTTCTACTCATTTGGTACGAGCATTTCAGATCAAATTCATCAGCGAATCTTTAGCTTTGGAGAATAATTACTGCTAAACTAAGATAATTTCGTCGTGATAATATAATTTAAAAAACGCCATTTTTCCTCAAATTCCTATTTTGGGGTTCGTTTTTTTGGTTTTCTCTTTTCATGGGTCATTTTTGGTTTTTATGGGTTTTTTGTGTTTTTATGGGCTTTTTTGTGTTTTTCCCTCGTTTTTGTAACTTTTCATCCAATTATTTAAAAACCCAAAAATACATAAAACGAATAAAACATATCATAATTGATAATGGGGATGAAGGACTGTAACATATAACTTGGTCTCAAATGAATGTAGGTGTAAATGGTATCAATTCTAACATTTTTTATACGTAATAAAAACCCAAAAATACTTCAAATTCCTATTTTGGGGAGTTGGACACCCCCAGTAATCCTAACTTAATCTTTAAAGATAAATCCTCGATTTTACCTCGATCCTACCTTAACCCTCCCTCCCTGTGCAGGCAAGCAGCTGATAGTATCAGGAAACAAAGAGTACGCAGTGAGCTGCTATATGTCCGCGTCACAGTGCGAGGAGCAGTTAGGGAACACTGTGGGTGAAACTAATGCTCTTACTAAAGCTGCTGCTCTCTTTCTCGAGGTTCTTACTACAACCCCCGGCACTTTATTATCTTTCTACAATCTGTATTATTTCCCGTGCTTAATTATTGATCCCCCTCGTGAAGACACTTGACACAAGTGGTTTAATTTGAGGTTTTTAATGCTTATAATATGAGGATAAAAGATACTCATCGTGTGTGTATCTCAAAGTTTCTTTAGGATACTGTTTGAATTTATCCAAATAAACCGATGGAATTTATTAATTAACAAAAGGAACTTGCCCGCAGTTGGAGAAGGACAAGCAGAAGTTGTGTATCTCAAGTAACGAGCACTACCTTGCAGCAGGTATAGACTGCTACAACATGGCTGTAAACAAGCTGGTAGCTACTAATAAACACGACCTCGCTCTTAAACTCTGTGTAGAGGTTAGCCGTTAGTGTCATTAACATTTCACTCTTAAACTCTGTGTAGAGGTTAGCCGTTAGTGTCATTAACATTTCACTCTTAAACTCTGTGTAGAGGTTAGCCGTTAGTGTCATTAACATTTCACTCTTAAACTCTGTGTAGAGGTTAGCCGTTAGTGTCATTAACATTTCACTCTTAAACTCTGTGTAGAGGTTAGCCGTTAGTGTCATTAACATTTCACTCTTATTCTTAAACTCTGTGTAGAGGTTAGCCGTTAGTGTCATTAACATTTCACTCTTAAACTCTGTGTAGAGGTTAGCCGTTAGTGTCATTAACATTTCACTCTTAAACTCTGTGTAGAGGTTAGCCGTTAGTGTCATTAACATTTCACTCTTAAACTCTGTGTAGAGGTTAGCCGTTAGTGTCATTAACATTTCACTCTTAAACTCTGTGTAGAGGTTAGCCGTTAGTGTCATTAACATTTCAGGGTAAAATATTGTGAGCACATCTCCTTCTGTTTCGTATCTTAGTTTGGAGTGCAAGTGTGGTTTGAACACTGGTCATCGCCCTTTGCCATTCGAAAATTAATGTTGAAAATAGTGGTGATCCCCATCATGATTTATAATGTTATTTCAGCTAGGCTGCCTGCTAGTAGACGTAGGACACATCATGATTTAGGATGTTATTTCAGCTAGGCTGCCTGCTAGTAGACGTAGGACACATCATGATTTATAATGTTATTTCAGCTAGGCTGCCTGCTAGTAGACGTAGGACACATCATGATTTATAATGTTATTTCAGCTAGGCTGCCTGCTAGTAGGCGTAGGACACATCATGATTTATAATGTTATTTCAGCTAGGCTGCCTGCTAGTAGACGTAGGACACATCATGATTTAGTATGTTATTTCAGTTAGGCTGCCTGCTAGTAGACGTAGGACACATCATGATTTATAATGTTATTTCAGCTAGGCTGCCTGCTAGTAGGCGTAGGACACATCATGATTTATAATGTTATTTCAGCTAGGCTGCCTGCTAGTAGACGTAGGACACATCATGATTTATAATGTTATTTCAGCTAGGCTGCCTGCTAGTAGACGTAGGACACATCATGATTTATAATGTTATTTCAGCTAGGCTGCCTGCTAGTAGACGTAGGATACATCATGATTTAGTATGTTATTTCAGCTAGGCTGCCTGCTAGTAGACGTAGGACACATCATGATTTATAATGTTATTTCAGCTAGGCTGCCTGCTAGTAGACGTAGGATACATCATGATTTAGGATGTTATTTCAGCTAGGCTGCCTGCTAGTAGACGTAGGACACATCATGATTTAGAATGTTATTTCAGCTAGGCTGCCTGCTAGTAGACGTAGGACACATCATGATTTATAATGTTATTTCAGCTAGGCTGCCTGCTAGTAGACGTAGGACACATCATGATTTATAATGTTATTTCAGCTAGGCTGCCTGCTAGTAGACATAGGACACATCATGATTTATAATGTTATTTCAGCTAGGCTGCCTGCTAGTAGACGTAGGACACATCATGATTTATAATGTTATTTCAGCTAGGCTGCCTGCTAGTAGACGTAGGACACATCATGATTTAGGATGTTATTTCAGTTAGGCTGCCTGCTAGTAGACGTAGGATACATCATGATTTAGGATGTTATTTCAGCTAGGCTGCCTGCTAGTAGACGTAGGACACATCATGATTTAGAATGTTATTTCAGCTAGGCTGCCTGCTAGTAGACGTAGGACACAACATGATTTATAATGTTATTTCAGCTAGGCTGCCTGCTAGTAGACGTAGGACACATCATGATTTATAATGTTATTTCAGTTAGGCTGCCTGCTAGTAGACGTAGGACACATCATGATTTATAATGTTATTTCAGCTAGGCTGCCTGCTAGTAGGCGTAGGACACATCATGATTTAGGATGTTATTTCAGTTAGGCTGCTTGCTAGTAGACGTAGGACACATCATGATTTAGGATGTTATTTCAGCTAGGCTGCCTGCTAGTAGACGTAGGAGACATCATGATTTATAATGTTATTTCAGTTAGGCTGCCTGCTAGTAGACGTAGGACACATCATGATTTATAATGTTATTTCAGTTAGGCTGCCTGCTAGTAGACGTAGGACACATCATGATTTATAATGTTATTTCAGCTAGGCTGCCTGCTAGTAGACGTAGGACACATCATGATTTATAATGTTATTTCAGCTAGGCTGCCTGCTAGTAGATGTAGGACACATCATGATTTAGTATGTTATTTCAGTTAGGCTGCCTGCTAGTAGACGTAGGACACATCATGATTTATAATGTTATTTCAGTTAGGCTGCCTGCTAGTAGACGTAGGACACATCATGATTTAGAATGTTATTTCAGCTAGGCTGCCTGCTAGTAGACGTAGGACACATCATGATTTAGGATGTTATTTCAGCTAGGCTGCCTGCTAGTAGACGTAGGACACATCATGATTTATAATGTTATTTCAGTTAGGCTGCCTGCTAGTAGACGTAGGACACATCATGATTTAGAATGTTATTTCAGCTAGGCTGCCTGCTAGTAGACGTAGGACACATCATGATTTAGTATGTTATTTCAGCTAGGCTGCCTGCTAGTAGACGTAGGATACATCATGATTTAGGATGTTATTTCAGTTAGGCTGCCTGCTAGTAGACGTAGGACACATCATGATTTATAATGTTATTTCAGCTAGGCTGCCTGCTAGTAGACGTAGGACACATCATGATTTATAATGTTATTTCAGCTAGGCTGCCTGCTAGTAGACGTAGGACACATCATGATTTAGGATGTTATTTCAGCTAGGCTGCCTGCTAGTAGACGTAGGATACATCATGATTTAGGATGTTATTTCAGCTAGGCTGCCTGCTAGTAGACGTAGGATACATCATGATTTATCATGTTATTTCAGCTAGGCTGCCTGCTAGTAGACGTATGACACATCATGATTTAGGATGTTATTTCAGCTAGGCTGCCTGCTAGTAGACGTAGGATACATCATGATTTATAATGTTATTTCAGCTAGGCTGCCTGCTAGTAGACGTAGGATACATCATGATTTAGGATGTTATTTCAGCTAGGCTGCCTGCTAGTAGACGTAGGATACATCATGATTTATAATGTTATTTCAGCTAGGCTGCCTGCTAGTAGACGTAGGACACATCATGATTTAGGATGTTTTTTCAGCTAGGCTGCCTGCTAGTAGACGTAGGATACATCATGATTTATAATGTTATTTCAGTTAGGCTGCCTGCTAGTAGACGTAGGACACATCATGATTTATAATGTTATTTCAGCTAGGCTGCCTGCTAGTAGACGTAGGACACAACATGATTTATAATGTTATTTCAGCTAGGCTGCCTGCTAGTAGACGTAGGACACATCATGATTTAGGATGTTATTTCAGCTAGGCTGCCTGCTAGTAGACGTAGGACACATCATGATTTATAATGTTATTTCAGCTAGGCTGCCTGCTAGTAGACGTAGGACACATCATGATTTAGGATGTTTTTTCAGCTAGGCTGCCTGCTAGTAGACGTAGGACACATCATGATTTATAATGTTATTTCAGCTAGGCTGCCTGCTAGTAGACGTAGGATACATCATGATTTAGTATGTTATTTCAGCTAGGCTGCCTGCTAGTAGACGTAGGACACATCATGATTTAGGATGTTATTTCAGCTAGGCTGCCTGCTAGTAGACGTAGGATACATCATGATTTAGGATGTTATTTCAGCTAGGCTGCCTGCTAGTAGACGTAGGACACATCATGATTTATAATGTTATTTCAGCTAGGCTGCCTGCTAGTAGACGTATGACACATCATGATTTATAATGTTATTTCAGCTAGGCTGCCTGCTAGTAGACGTAGGACACATCATGATTTAGTATGTTATTTCAGCTAGGCTGCCTGCTAGTAGACGTAGGACACATCTTGATTTAGTATGTTATTTCAGCTAGGCTGCCTGCTAGTAGACGTAGGATACATCATGATTTAGTATGTTATTTCAGCTAGGCTGCCTGCTAGTAGATGTAGGACACATCATGATTTAGTATGTTATTTCAGCTAGGCTGCCTGCTAGTAGACGTAGGACACATCATGATTTAGTATGTTATTTCAGCTAGGCTGCCTGCTAGTAGACGTAGGACACATCATGATTTAGTATGTTATTTCAGCTAGGCTGCCTGCTAGTAGACGTAGGATACATCATGATTTAGTATGTTATTTCAGCTAGGCTGCCTGCTAGTAGACGTAGGACACATCATGATTTAGTATGTTATTTCAGCTAGGCTGCCTGCTAGTAGATGTAGGATACATCATGATTTATAATGTTATTTCAGCTAGGCTGCCTGCTAGTAGACGTAGGACACATCATGATTTATAATGTTATTTCAGCTAGGCTGCCTGCTAGTAGACGTAGGACACATCATGATTTAGGATGTTATTTCAGCTAGGCTGCCTGCTAGTAGACGTAGGATACATCATGATTTAGGATGTTATTTCAGCTAGGCTGCCTGCTAGTAGACGTAGGACACATCATGATTTAGAATGTTGTTTCAGCTAGGCTGCCTGCTAGTAGACGTAGGACACATCATGATTTATAATGTTATTTCAGTTAGGCTGCCTGCTAGTAGACGTAGGACACATCATGATTTAGGATGTTATTTCAGCTAGGCTGCCTGCTAGTAGACGTAGGACACATCATGATTTATAATGTTATTTCAGCTAGGCTGCCTGCTAGTAGGCGTAGGACACATCATGATTTATAATGTTATTTCAGTTAGGCTGCCTGCTAGTAGACGTAGGACACATCATGATTTAGGATGTTATTTCAGCTAGGCTGCCTGCTAGTAGACGTAGGACACATCATGATTTATGATGTTATTTCAGCTAGGCTGCCTGCTAGTAGACGTAGGACACATCATGATTTATAATGTTATTTCAGCTAGGCTGCCTGCTAGTAGACGTAGGACACATCATGATTTATGATGTTATTTCAGCTAGGCTGCCTGCTAGTAGACGTAGGACACATCATGATTTATAATGTTATTTCAGCTAGGCTGCCTGCTAGTAGACGTAGGACACATCATGATTTAGGATGTTATTTCAGCTAGGCTGCCTGCTAGTAGACGTAGGATACATCATGATTTAGTATGTTATTTCAGTTAGGCTGCCTGCTAGTAGACGTAGGACACATCATGATTTAGAATGTTATTTCAGCTAGGCTGCCTGCTAGTAGACGTAGGACACATCATGATTTATAATGTTATTTCAGTTAGGCTGCCTGCTAGTAGACGTAGGACACATCATGATTTAGTATGTTATTTCAGCTAGGCTGCCTGCTAGTAGACGTAGGATACATCATGATTTAGGATGTTATTTCAGCTAGGCTGCCTGCTAGTAGACGTAGGACACATCATGATTTATGATGTTATTTCAGCTAGGCTGCCTGCTAGTAGACGTAGGACACATCATGATTTATAATGTTATTTCAGCTAGGCTGCCTGCTAGTAGACGTATGACACATCATGATTTAGGATGTTATTTCAGCTAGGCTGCCTGCTAGTAGACGTAGGACACATCATGATTTATAATGTTATTTCAGCTAGGCTGCCTGCTAGTAGACGTAGGACACATCATGATTTATAATGTTATTTCAGCTAGGCTGCCTGCTAGTAGACGTAGGACACATCATGATTTAGTATGTTATTTCAGTTAGGCTGCCTGCTAGTAGACGTAGGACACATCCCAGATGCTGAACCACATTTCATCAAGGCTTCCTCTCTCATCAACCCTGGCAACATTACTTTGCAGGTGACAATATTTGCAATTTCTTAACGCTCCTTTCATTGTTATTCAACTTTGATGCTTCTATGCTGTATTGTTGAGGGTTAACCTATTAAAATATATTAAAATAGTCTGTTAAATTTCAGATAGTGGTATTAAAGAAGTTGTGTTATTTCAGATAGTGGTATTAAAGAAGTTGTGTTATTTCAGATAGTGGTATTAAAGAAGTTGTGTTATTTCAGATAGTGGTATTTAAGAAGTTGTGTTATTTCAGATAGTGGTATTAAAGAAGTTGTGTTATTTCAGATAGTGGTATTAAAAAAGTTGTGTTATTTCAGATAGTGGTATTTAAGAAGTTGTGTTGTTTCAGATAGTGGTATTAAAGGTGCACACCGCGAATTTTGCAACTTTGGCTAAAATAGTAATAGGGCGTGAAACAGAAACATTGTGCTATGTTTCGCAGCGTTGGTCTAATTACATCACCCTCAAATTAGCGATCAAAGTTTTCGCTTCCTAGAGAGATACAGCGTCTTAGGAAATCAAGGAATGTAAACAGTGTGGATTGTGGCTTGAACATTGCTAATTTTCTGAATTGTTTTGTGAACTGCTGGTTTCCGATCTTATCGGCCAAAACAAAGGCTGTGTTTCTTCGATATTTTAATAGATGGAATTAATTTGTACACAAATTCTACGCGTTTTATGTGCAAAACTACCCTGACTGTAAAATCATTATATATATTATCCATTGAATTACTAAATCCAGCGTATTTTCCACTAGAGGTCACTCTAACAAATAAAACAAAACTATTCCAATCAAAATCTAGATCGGTCAAGCAAGGTTGACCTTTTTGGAATTTTTAGTCCCGTGATATTCTTAGGAATTGTTCTTTTCACGTACTGACTTTCCTTGAGCATGGTGGCTATACTGCGGGGCTCTTTTCCCTCTCAAACATAGTCCCACATTCCTTGCAAGATATCCTTTCTGTAAGAGTAGTCCTTGTTGATGACTCGGCTTTTGCTTACATATTTCTTTTGGCTCTTAGAATAGGACCAAAATTCTTTTCTGTTGCTGGTTAAGTTCTTATTGATTTCTATAGCAATAACCATAGAGCCCACTACCATTCTGTTTAGGGAATAGGAAGTCCGTTTAGGCAAGAGCTTTAGTCTCACATTGTGATAAACTTCCAAAGCCCCTGTGTGTAGAAAGTTACAACACAACTGGATGGAACTTATGAAGCGGGTGCTGGTGAAGTACTTGAATAAAGAGGTGAATTCTTCACTTTCTATTTTAAACCACTTTAGCCCCTTTAGCGTCCTGTGTTTTACCCTTGAAGAGTACTTCATTTTATGAAAGTAAGGATATAGCTTTTCAGAGGTCAAAACAATTTGCTTCTTTCTTTTTTCATTCCGTTCTTTCTGCAGTTGTAGTTTTAGAGGCTCGAAGGGATCGGCTGTCCAGGCGTGATGGTTACTAATGTGCAGTAAAGTCGAATGAACCCTTTCCACTAACTCTTTCGGGTCCCCTGCACGATAGGGGCAACAAACTCCGACAGCTTCGGTAGTTTTTTAGACATTTCCATGAGCTTTCTTTTCACCAGCCTCGCTTTGTGCCAAATATCATAGTTGTGAGTAATACTGGTAAAGAAGGTCCTCATCAGATTTGCAATCCTCGTATTCTCATCGGTCACGAAGTGTCGGACTTTCAGCCCTTGGCTAACAAGGTTGAGTAGGACTCCCTTGCACGCAAACGTTTCCAGGTCGCCTCTGTACATTCCCTTTTGGGCGACGAAAAAGTCAAGAATAGCACCTGTCTTAATATCTAGAATTCTATAAGTGCAAAACTTCGCACACCAACCGGGCGAGTCGAAGTGCCCATCTCCTGCGATGTCAACGTGTTTCAACCCACTGCGACTCTCTAGCAAAGCTGTCCTCATAGACGTCCATTGGTCGACGATTATAGGGTATAGATTGGTCGTGTTGTTTTTATAGAAACTTGAGCATGTTATGTATGGAACAGATAAACAAGTCATGAACGATTCTAAAACACTATAACTCATCCCACACAAAAAAGCTGCAGCAGAAACTACAAGGTTGCACTCATACTTTTTCTGTCTCAGGCGTGAGCTTCTCCAGACTCCTTCGTGAGGCAGAATACCATAACACCTGTAATTGACCACTATGCCAAATCCAGCACAGTTTATCCTCTTGATGACTGACCGGGCTCCGCATTCGGGACAGAATTTAAATAGGGATAGTAGTAAGGGCACGCTAATAATGGCCCAACAAGCGTTTGTTGTGAATGATTCTACGCTTCCATCAATAACTGGCTCATCATCGTCCGTGAGGTCATCCAGTTCAAGATCATCCAGCTCTATAAAGTCACCTTCTTCGGAAAATGAAGAGTTGATATCTTCATTATGTAAACCCGTGTCAAAGTCATCATCATCATCTTCATCAGTAGGTTGGCTATCTTCACTGTCAGTTTCTGAGAAGTAAAGCTCGTCGATCTCCCAAAAAGAATCAGGTTCAATGTTAGAACAGGATTCGTTGGTTGTATCCTGATCAATATCTATGCCATCAGTTGACCCTGCCGGTTGCATTTCAACTAATCTTTCTTTAGGGGGTGGTCGTTTTGACATTGTTTGGACTAGGGGGTTGGCGAAACTACCAGTCCTTCGATCTGTATTTGGTACACTATCGACTTTCAAGCGAATCAATGTGCGAGTTTCAGGATTGGCTCGAGCATGATATCGTTCCAAATCACCCTCTTGAAAGTCATCCAGGAAAAAGTGATCAGTACAAACTCTTGTACTAAGGCTGGGTTGCCATGATCGTGAATCTCTATTCATCCTCACAACCCATTTTTGCTTTAAAGCTTGATTTGTTGGTAGTCTGATGTATCTTAGATATTCTCTTCCACTGTGATCACTTACTTTGTTTCGGCTACTACGATTCGAGCAAGCACCCACAGCACAAAATGATCCTCCTGGTCTCCGCTTCTACGAAGGTGGTTGTTCAGCCATTCAGCTACTTTATTTCTGTAACATCGTTCGAGTATTGAAGAATGTATTGAAGAATGTGACTAAAAATACTAAAATAACTCGTGATATTATAACTTGTAACTAGTGATAAGAGATGGCAAATTTAAATAACTAATCGTGTTAACAATAACAAACTACTAGTGCTCAGTATTACCGTTTAAAACGAATGTGTCATGATTGCGTGTAAGAGACAAAACGTGGCATTGCAAATGTAAACAACGTAATAGTGAGAGGAGAGTAGAGAGAGAGAGTGATAGTACGCTGCATCTCTCGAGCGACCCTAATTTTGGTGGCCAATTAGAGGGCGACACCCTAACTTGCGTGTCCCTAAATTTTGCGGAAGTTAATATATTCGCTTGACTATCAGATTGAGTTAAAAAACAAAAATGTTAAAATTTTTTCCCTATCTCGGTGTGCACCTTTAAAGAAGTTGTGTTATTTCAGATAGTGGTATTAAAGAAGTTGTGTTATTTCAGATAGTGGTATTTAAGAAGTTGTGTTATTTCAGATAGTGGTATTAAAGAAGTTGTGTTATTTCAGATAGTGGTATCAAAAAAGTTGTGTTATTTCAGATAGTGGTATTAAAGAAGTTGTGTTATTTCAGATAGTGGTATTAAAGAAGTTGTGTTATTTCAGATAGTGGTATTAAAGAAGTTGTATTATTTCAGATAGTGGTATTAAAGAAGTTGTGTTATTTCTGATAGTGGTATTCAAGAAGTTGTGTTATTTCAGATAGTGGTATTAAAGAAGTTGTGTTATTTCAGATAGTGGTATTAAAGAAGTTGTGTTATTTCAGATAGTGGTATTAAAGAAGTTGTGTTATTTCAGATAGTGGTATTAAAGAAGTTGTGTTATTTCAGATAGTGGTACTATTAAAGAAGTTGTGTTATTTCAGATAGTGGTATTAAAGAAGTTGTGTTATTGCAAGACTTACTGTAAGAACTACATGGGAGCATTAGAGACGCTGGATAGACTGGTATATCTGATAAACGTGTCAACTTCTATGATCGGTGAGATACTTAATTTAGTTTGATAGAAAAATGAGTGAGGCAAGCAAAAAGGAGTTTACAATTAACATTAATATAGATATAAATAAATCCTAACATTTATTAAATTCTAACATTTATTAACGTATAGATTAATTGAGATTAGTTGCTGTTCACACTTCACCATTCTGCAAATAATTTAAATGAGCAATACATCACAAGAAGCGTTGGAAACTTAGTAACCCAGAGCAACATATCATTATTAACATCCAAAACTAACTAAAATAACACAAATGAGACATAGGATCACAGTGTTGCACGCCCCGTTTATTATCTGGCTAGATTGGTCGGAGACGGCGTCGAATGCCACTCTAAACAGGACATAGCACATAATGTGATCATGATATCCCTGAATGACTAGGTGTACATTTGGTGGGTCTGAGTGGAAGTTGATGATGTACATTCAGCACACCTACGGCGGCGTTTCTAATCAGTGGCGGCGTTGCTGATCAGTGGCGGCGTTGCGAATACAAAATAATCGGCGGCGTGCAACACAGAGCACTGTGGGGTCACATAACAGCTATATCCGCTTATTCTAGTCCTGCTAAATCAAGATATAGTTGAAAATATATTAGTTAAGCTGATTCGAAAAATGTTGGACCACTTCCCTCTATCTGGCTAAACACACACGTTTTATAATATGACGCAGTGAAACTATCGGACTGTGAATATGTAGACTCTGTTACATCGTTTTCTGTTTATATAAAACTCCGTTACAAATTGAACTGGGATCTGGCAATACTACACCTTAGTACACCTTATAATATGCCCTCTTATTACTTGTTACCATTTATACAGTAACAGTATTTATATGGTTACTAACCGTAGTTGAGCACCTGGGTGAGCAAACTAAAAAAGCAAACACTGGCTACTAAGTTGACTCTGGAAGCAGGGTTCCCAGAGTTTCCAGGTTCTACATAGTGCCGGCAGCCCGGTCGTTCAACAAAATTGTTTTGACATTTGAACTGGAAACTAGTAGCATTGTTATACTCATATTCTGGATAACATTGTACAGTGACCTGACTACCTGGTAAGATGAAGGGAGCCAGTGTGTTTGTGATAACTGCCCCGTTTCTGATCTCCATTTGTGGATCACATGGCCCAAGGTGCTCCTTTATAGTCTCAAATGTCAGGTCACGTAACTGTTCCTTGCACTCTGGACATAAGAATATTCTGTCGAAATTAGTGGTTAACATTGATATTGATATATAGTCTGGTGCGAAACCATATGGATATGGAACAACTGGAACTAGCTGAAATGTTTGTGTTGTAGAGCTTCTGGAGCAATCTTCCAGGGTAGCAGTAACTTTAGATCCAGCTGATTTGCTCGCCACACACTTCCCGGATAGTTTGTGTTTCATCCTTATTTGATTTTTTCCCTGATTCTTGTTAAGATTTGGTTGTACAATCCATTGTGAGGTATCCTCACATGCACCCCATTTCATATTTTCCCCAGTTACTTTCAGACATTGCCTACTATTTCCTCTTATTACCAAAATATTTAGGTGTGTTTTACCACTTATCTTACCCTGAAATTCTACCACCGGGCTCTTCAACTCCAGTGCTCTTTGTATAATCCAGATACATGTTGAATTGCCAATAGTGCTAAACTGGCCACCCGACGGAGCAGCAGGGTTGTTCAACAATGCACACATCTCTGTTTTATAGTTGAACGCTAAGAAGTTACAGTGGTAGTAGTACTGGCAGTACTGGGTACACTGGTGCAGGGAGTCTGTGGGAAACTGATAGATGGGTTGCTCGTCACAGCACTCTACCTTATCTGTCTCATAGCATGAGTCCATCAAGTCTTTATCAATTTCTTCTGTTGGAGACATTTCAATCAAGTCTGGAGGCGCTTCCAGGCTAATGTTGGATACAGCCCCCTGTGCCAGCGCCCTTAGGCTCAAACAGAGCATCGCTAATTGAACTATTTGAGAACGCATCATTGCTGTACCAAAGGGAAATCAACTATAGAAATTGTAAATTCAACTTTACTCAAAAGAAGATTGAGTACGCCTGACGCAACACCTTTTGCATTATTCAAATGAAGCTTTGTCAACCAGAACCCCTTTTATGGAAGGTCCCATTGGGGGGGGGGGTACCAATGGCATAAATGGCATAATGGAGAATTGGCCAAACAAAATTTCCATTTATGCCATGAAATTTCTATGCCATTTGATGAATTTTATGCCATTTGTCTCCATTCTATGCCATTCGAAATATTAAATTTTAAAACTTTGAACTGAGAATTTAATAACGAATAGTCTGCACCCCACTAGTACTGTCACCTTTATTTCTATTTGTTGTACTGACCCTGGTCATTAGAAACACCCCTAAAAGTTCGTTTTTTGACAAAAAATTTAAAACTTCTGTAATTTCATTTCTGTTTTAGTTACGCATTTGATTTTTGGTATGCGTATAGAAAATCGATACGGCTTTAAAATGAGATGTTCGGCGACCTCCTAGCTCACTCACTAGACTCAGTAGGAGTGATTTAACTGCGAGGGACAATTGAGGCTAACAAATTAGCCTCACCACTTTCAAAAAAGAACTTTCTCATGTTACGTCCATGATATTCAAGTTGCAAGTATAATCCATATTACCTGGGGACCTCAGGCTATTATGTTCATAAACATAGAGATTATGTTCATAAACATAGAGATTCGGCGGAATGACAGGCTGAGCGCGGCCCAGTAAAATCCATAGTGATTTTACTTGATCGGTATTTAAGCTTCAAATATTCGAGGTGAAAATGAGGCTAACCACCTTTTGAGAGGGTGAAATGAGGCTAACAAGTATACTTTTGTGTATATTTTCGAGTTGGTTCGGTTTTGTGACTATCTAATGTGTCAACAATAAAAATTTATTCATCCTCTTCAAGCTCAACATTTCAGAAATCGCAGAGTCTTCTTGTAGGAGGCCAAAATGAGGCTAATAAATGATTCGACCGCATTTTAAGTTGTAACTTTAATGTACGGAAACATGTTATAGACCCACTATAAAACTTGTAATTGTAGCCCGAAGGTTATTGAGACTTTATCGAAACTTATGTGAGGTTGGATTGAGGCTACCTTCCCTCCTTGAGGCAAAATTGAGGCTAACAGATACACTACGCAGACAATTGTCACTGTGCCAGCTATCAAGTAGTTGCTGAGCAGCAGCAGCAGTTAGATGAAGAAAATGAAGTTGAGGAAGTAAATGTATTAGAGCTGTTGGCTAGAGTAGGCCCCTTACTTCTATGGAGCTCTCTGGCCAATTGCTCTGGCAATGCTCTCCATGGGGCCATGTAATATCACATGATCTGATATCATGCCAAATTAGACTCTAAACTATAAAGTATAATAAAAATGGAACTGTTTGAGAAAAAACATTTTTCGTTACTTGGAAAGAGAATACTTACTCAGCTGTCAGAATAACGAATCAGACGTACCTTGATCTTATATGTACTTGTGACGGTCTTGTTTTGTATTTAACTCTGCTGAAGAAGCAATTCCCTAATGCTGAGATCGTCACTTAAAACCTTGGAAGTGATCAGAATGAGCAGCTGTTTGCATTTATTCTGGTTTCTTTTTCATCTGGTCGCTCAAGAAATATGGATGCGATAACTATGGCCCATGGAATGGAGAGAAATAATGTGTACAGTGCTTTATCATTACATGAAGACACATCTGCAATTGCACATGCACGTGGAAGTACAGTTTTGCATCCTACAGTTCACCTCAAAAAGGTTAAATCTACAGGCCAGAAAGCAGAACGAGTGAAATGGACTGGTGGTATGATAAGCCTAGGGCATCGAGGGACTGCATTCGAGAAGGGAAAAGAAACAATTTCCCTGTGTTCGCCGCAGTCGCAGATCCTGAAGAACGGAGTGGGAAGCCAATCGTCCATGGCCAAGAACTTTCTTGGGAAGCTGTAGATGATGAAGCTGGATGCCTCGAGGATGAGGACGACTTAGCTTATGAGGTAGAACCTGGAGTTGATGATTGTGATAATGGAGAAACGATATCAACAGATAAATATGGAACACTATCCTTCCGGTCTTTTGAGACACTCACGCTCAATGGAGGAAGAAGCACTTTATCAACAAAATCTCGTCTTTCAAGATTCAAGGGGGACGCGTTTGGAGTGTCTTCTGATGTTCGCATATACAATCAACCTGAATGCGGATGTTCAACAGTTTTGAAAGCTGGCAGTACAGAAACTCTTAAAGTCTTCAAATCTCAGCAGGACTTTGCAACAGGAGTGGTTAGATTTATTTCTTATAAGTCATGCCCCATGAAGTACTACTGCCAGGAACATAGCCTAATCAATGGATCTCCTAATGTTTGGCTACTCGTCGAAGACAAATACATCAGATGCATTGTTCCTTGATGACATTCAAAATCGTTGTGTTGTCAATGTTTGTATTCTGTACATTTTGAACATCTCACAATTTGCTTTTCTTGAATAGTGAAATGTTTGGTATATATTTGATATAATACATTTCTATTTTCTTTATTTGTCATATGAATCTTTGACTTTAACGATCATTCCAAGCGTTATAAAGCATGAAACATGTCTCTTATTCAAGTACTAATAATATTTGCGGATTTAAAGTCATCCTAAAGGTCAAATATGAAGACCTAAATTCATGGCATAAATTGGCATAAATGGAGAATTGGCCAAACAAAATTTCCATTTATGCCATGAAATTTCTATGCCATTTGATGAATTTTATGCCATTTGTCTCCATTCTATGCCATTGGTACCCCCCCCCCCCCCCCCCCCCCCCCCCCCCCCCCCCCCCGTCCCATTACAAAGTTTTAAGAAAAGATAAGGGATTCGGGAGGTCCAGACCAAAAAAGGACTGATGAGGAATACTTATCTTGGAATTCCTGGAGCACACTTTCACTTTGATGATATAGATAAGTAGCCTGTGGTGGTGAAAACATGGGGTATAGGGTATTACATGGGGTATAGGGTACCGCAAAAGAAGAATACTCAAGTTATTGTAGGTCGTAAGCTGAAACTTGATGTGCTGAAAAGTGCAATGGTAAATATGATCTAGAGCGACCAAAAACCTTTGCCCGAGAAAGAGGCTTGATGAGAGAAATTACAGACATAATTTTGTGGAATTTTATTATCATCTTAAAATGTAATATAAAATGTTATACATTATAATAAGCTACAAGTAACAAAAAAACAGTTTGCCTCATTCGTTAAATTTTGAAGCGGCACTTGAAACTTCAGATTTGGAGTCTTGTAACACCCTGTAAGTACCAGTTGCCTCAGTACTCCGTACTAGCATAGTGTCTATCAAGGTGTTCGTGGCAGTTGACCCCTTCTCACATTTCCTCTGGGCAGATCGAAGATGCTTCAGCCTTCATTCATATTTACTGAACATCCGTCATAGAAAGCACGACAAGAATCTGCAGATCACTGAGCACTAACGCAGTTATTATAACATACAGTGTCGGTGTAAAAGCGACTACAGCAGTTCCAGCTACACCCCCAACCAGACCTATAGCATTAGCTACACTGGAGGCCAGAGCAAAGTTATCCGTTCCAAAGTACTCCTTATCGATGAAAATGTAATAAGTAGCCATGTTGCTAATCCCGTACAGGAACTTGACAATGAAGTTAGTCACAGTCACTGCCACAATACTTTCCTGTTTTAACATCGCTGCGAATGTCCCGATATTAAGCATGGCTACAATAACCTGAGATTTACGGTAACGAACTCTGTCCTTGAGGAAGCTTGCAAACAACTTGCCAGGAAGTGCCGCGAATGTGACAAGAGCCAGAATGAGCAGCTCCGCACCTTGAGTAGCAGTCTGGTTGCAGCCACTGTCCAGTTCCGTGTTCCGTGTTTTGATTAGTTGGATCAGTGTTGGAACGAGCAGGATGGTGAGCCACCCTTGGAACATGCTCAAAGCACGGCATAGTCCCAGTTTAGTGATTCTAGCGATCATGTTGGGAACAGCCACTGTGCAACTGTGCACTGCACCATCCTCTTCCACTTGAATGTTGGGACCTGCAGTCCCTGAAAAACAGAAGTGTAGCATGAAAATGGGTGGAATGATTGTTGGTAGAGATGTGAGAAGTATGAATACCCTCCATCCTACCACATCCAACAGCAGATATCCCAAAACTGCTGGCCAGACACCCCCAACTGTGTACATGATCTTGGAAATGGTGACTATACTGCCAAGTATTTCATTACTTGAAACCAGCTCCACGATCATGACACTGTGAATCCACAAGTTGAGTCCAACACAGAAGCCGATAAGGGCTCTAGAAAGGAGAAGGGTTTCGTAGTTAGCTACTATAGCACAGATCACTGTGCTCAGTCCGCTCATATAAAGGGAGAACAAGGTCAACTCTCGTCTACCAAACCTGGATCAATATGCAACTTTCAATGATTAGATAGGTTTAGAATATTTTGTTAACTTAAAAATCATGATTCGTTATTTTAACTTATTGGGGAATGGAAAAGGACAGCGAATTAATCTCGTACCTGTCAGCTAACAGACCCGCGATAACAGTAGCTATTGCTAAGGTGAAGTACTGAATACACTCCAGCATACCCTCCCGTACCAGGGACAGCTCAATATCGCAGGACACTTGCTGTGTTATCACTCCTGAAGGTTTTGTCGAATGAAGTCGAGTTATTGGTATGGTGACTGAATGAATTTTAAGGTTTTGTTAAGAGGGAAATCATCAGATTTACTTTATTTTAACCATTATCTGACATATCGTATCTTTCGCCAATATCCATCGATGGCGAAAATGGCGAAAAGTTGTTTGCACAGTTTGGATATTTTCGTTATTTTGTCCCAAGGAATTGTTCATTATGCCGTGACAAAGTTAACCCGTGGGCAAATTAAAGCCGTGAAAATGGCACGTGATATGGCACTTAACTAACCAGGTAAATACATTTCCACTCCGTCCACAATATTCATAAGTACACCAAATACCAGCAGGAGCTTGTCCATTCTCGTCCAGTCCTTTTGTTGGTTGAGCAAATGTGTCTTCTCCACGTGGGCGTTATCTTTCTCCGCGTGGGCGCTATTTCCATTCACGTCGGCGTTATCTCCAGTCACGTGGGAGCTATCTCTAGTCACGTGGGCGTTATCTCCAGTGGGCTGGTTGTTAGATTCTTTCATCTTCTGAAGCAGAATCCTAACAGAAAACTAATGAGCCATTTACCATTATAGTTAAGAAAGTTTATGACAGAAAGTATGAAAAATGTCAACGTTTTTGCCGACCATTCACCTCTACTTGTACTTATGAGTATTGCTGAAAGCACAGTGTAAGGCCTACACGGACCGCCTCTAACTAGCCAATCCCTGTTTATGTCATAAATTGCAATGCGTTAAAATGGGGTTTCTATCATGTCCGCCAAGACGAGCATAAGTAATTTAATGTTGAAAGGGCATAACCTCCAACAATTGAATCTTTAAACAATTTTAGCGACAGAATCCTCGATACAAATGATTAATTATAGTATATGGGGAGCAACAAGTCTAAAACACGAAAAATGGTTATATTTTCTAAGCCCAAACGTTTGCGTCATCGAGAAAACCTACTGTTCACCGAAACGAGGTATCCAAGATGAACATTCATCACCTCGACTAACCTTCAAGTACATACTGATACATGAATAGGAAAAATGACGAAACATGAAATTTGCCGAATAACCTGCTGAGCCCTATTGTTACAATTTACGGCTGGGTTCAGAAGTACTGTTTGGCTTCTAGGTTTATAGGGTAGGCCGGCAACTTAGGCACTTAGCCTAAGGATGGAATTTAATTGACCTTGAAATAGTCAAAGTTTAGGGTAGAGTTCACATGACAACTATGTACATAGTAGCTAAGAAGTAAAATTGATCTCTAAGCTTGGAGGTGGGTTCTTGAAACATTTATGATACAAAAGGTGTTATTAGGCATTAGCAGGAGCTTTTAAAATACATGTATATATCATTATTGCCCCCCCCCCCCCCCCCCCCCCCCGTCTTCAGCTCATAATCAGCTCATGATCTCTAAGATTTCTGTACTCTATTCGTGGATCACATTATAAGGGAGGGAAGCCGCAAGGTCAAAATGAAATCGCGGCACGTGCGGAATCGCGATTTTTCTCATTCTCCGCGACAAATCGCGATTTTTGACGTTTGAGGACAAATTTGCGCATTCTTATCTCCTTTGAATCCGAGTTCAAATATCACGTTATTTATAAGTATATGAACCAATAACATCCACAACCTTCCGAAGGGGAAGGAGGGGGAACCGTTTATGGTGTCAGAGGACGCGAGACTAGCTCCTCCTTCTGCCGATAGAATTTGTACCTGAGGATGCCGCTTTTTGCAGCTCCTGTCATCAACTTTACAGGCATGATAGACACTAAATGAGACTTGAATCCTAACTGCACATTAAAACTTTCTCAAGGCATGCCTGACATTAGATATTCGCAATATATATCTGGTAACACTACTAAATTCTAATAGATCAAAAGATTGGACGCTACGGTGAACAAAGGTCGAATAATACCTCTGACTATAATTTGCACTAGATGCAAAATGATTAAATGTAAATATTGTCAAATTTAACAAATATAAAAGAAATCATCTTAGGAATGCAAATGCTTGCAAATTGAAATACATTTTTCTATCACTATCAGTAAAGATCCTTGATCTGAGACACAATTAAATCATGTATTTTATTCTATATAGCCATCACAAAGTCAGTCGCATTGTATTAAACTAAGATATTTCCGTTGTAGACATGGCATATTATTTCTAAATGATGTCTAACCTTGAGGTGTTTTAATTGTGAAAATCTATCAATCAGAAACAAATTTAATAATTTCGGTATTACACTTAACACTAAATTCATTATGGTATGCCAACAGTACTACATATAAAGTCGATAATCTATTTAATCCAAGCTGATGGATATATAATATATATATACTGTGGGACAATCTTCTGTATACATAATGTTTATTAAAACTTTTAATTTGAAATTGTAATGTTGACGGATATTCCTTCTCACAGAAGAGAAGATCACGTCCCACCTACAGGATACCCTGGAGTTCTGTGAGCTAACCACCCTCCTCCTACTTCTCATCGTCAACACTCCCTTCCTTCATCTCTCTCAGCTCCACAAGTAGGCACTTTAGTACATCTGAAAATATCCTCTCAAATTTCTTACTAGAAAATCCCTTTCCCCAAAATTTCGGGAACCATGTGATCCGACTGGGATTGAAAGACCAAAACTCCGATTTACCGTGCCATTTTCCTTCCCCAAACTGCACTGTTAATCGTGATTTCACTGTTATGTAGTCGATTGCTCAAATTGTATATTGTATAATTATAATCAAATGAATATTATGTCTGCACAAGGTAACAGCTGAACCTACTTACTGACCGTTTGTCATATTAACCCCTGTTTCTTTCCCAGAGATCTGATAGATAAGTACAGCACAGTTCCGTTAGATGTTCTCACTTCTGAAGCTGAGGTAGACCGGTTTATCAACCTGGTGGAGATCGCCATGGCAACCAAACACAGGGTAATTTTATCAGATTTCGCTTTTATAAATTATAATCTTATAGCTGTCTAATGTCCATAGTAATTTACTATGGACATTAGACAGCTATAAGATTATAATTTATATAATCTATATACTATTAGTAAATGGTTTTACCCCGCGCCGGCTACTAATACTCAGTATTTGAGAATTGGGGGAGAATTGTGAATTGTTGTAGTATTATTATTGCATTGCAATGTATTTGTATTGTAATTTGATTCGTAAATATGTCGCTACACCAGGACTACAGGACGCTAACCACTCTACACAACAAGCTCTATTCCACCCTGGACTCTCAACAGAACGAGCTGTTTAGAGAACTCATCTCCAGAGTCGAGGACATCCACCTCGTCCTACTTTGAGGTTACGTGAGGTTATGAGGATAAGCTCATACATGAAGATTGAGGTTAATTGTCATTGTACGAAATGTCTTTAGTTGTATGTACCATGTCTGTTATGTGTGCAGGTTGAGGTTGAGGTTGAGTAGTAGTACAGTAGTAGTAGTGACGATATTATGAGGATTATGTTCCATAACTTCTCTGTTCTTTTATGACATTATGTATTGTTCAGGCGACAGTTTGATTTGTAATGTCGTGTTCTTGTGTTGTCGTGTTCTTGTGTTGTCGTGATGTCGTATTGTCGTGGTGTTGTATTGGTTTTTAGTGTCGTCTTAGGTAGAGATTTTAATTTGCCCCATTGCCAGGACTTTATCGCAATATGCGCCTCTTTGTTCTAACTAAATCAGATTTCCTTTTCTATTGATGAGTAATATAAGAGTTATGTAATGATAACAATTTAAAATCAGTTTGTTGTAAAATTCTATTAGTATTGGTTAATTTTGTTGTATATTATTGCTGTAAATTCAGTTTTTGATTTAAATTTTGAATATTATCTTACTGTTAGTAACCTATGTTATTATCATTGATTTTTTCCATTCACACCCTTTTGTAAAAATGCAATAGTGAAAGGTTACGAATGGTCGTTTTTGCAGAAAAAGAGGGATTTTGGAGAAGGAGGTAGGTGGGTTTAAATGTGTCGTCAGTCCTTACTTCCTTCCGTCCGTTACCATGACAACGAGAAACACGCGCGCAGCGTGCATGGGTTGTTTGCGGAGATTGATGTGATGTATAGCCGGGATCGGGACTCTAGGGCGTAAGACTGTACGGCGGCGCCGTACAAAACACTAAAACAGGACTCTACGGCGGCAAACATTTTGTTTTCTATTTTTAATTGATATATTTTATTTTTCTATTTTTGATTGATATTGATAACTTGGCATGTGTCAGTTAATAAATTTAGGAGTTACAAGAGTTACACAAGTTTCTGAATTACAAGATATGACTGTAACTGTATAAGACATACATGAGTAAAGTTCACTTGCACTTTTTGCTTCTAATTTCTTAAATTACTGATAAAAGTTACGTTCTACGGCAATTGAATTGAATCACACGTGTTTCCACTTTCCCGTATTTAAAATATAATTTTATGAAGTTAACTGAGCTTGTAGTGAATGGAAATATAGCGTCCGCCACGACGAAAAAACGGGCGCAATTCTTGTTCATACCCATCATGCGATCTTATTATTATAAGTACTTGATATTTATTCAGCACTCAATCCACCATCCCCAGTAGGCATGTTTCTCCAGCCACTCCACCTTACCCCAGTCTCCTTCCTCGCCTGATATACCTTACAAGACATATTTATGGCGGCCTAATTTGCGACGACCGAAATTTTTGCGGTCCGAAAATATGGCGAAATTGAACAAAAGCCGTCAAATTTCGGACGTCACAGAAAATAAGGGTATTTTTCATCATTTTTTGTAACAGTAAGCAGTAAGGAAATTTCTGAAATTCGGTAAAATCATGTTCAAACTTAGTCTGTATTAAGACTGTAAGACTTTCATGTTAGCACATACATGTATTTTAATGCAAATTTAAACTGTATTGCTTGACATTCAATTCGTCATTGGTGTGGTGATAATTTGTCCCAAGATGCCAGAATTTATTTATTTATTTTATTTGATATTACTTTTTAGAAACAAAATAAAGCAGTGAAGGCACAGTCATTGAAATAAGCTAAAAGATAATGCGACGGATTCTATAACGACGACCGAAATTTTGGCGGTCCGAAAATATGGCGAAATTTTCGGAAAACCGCCACATTTCGTACGTTATAAATATGTCTTGTAAGGTAACTATATAAGAACGTGACTACGTCTGTCACAATCAATAGTGCGTGTCTCCAGTGAATTACTCTCTGTCCTTGTTCGGACTCTAATTATGCAATATACGGGTATTCGAGTTCTTAGTATAGTGTTGCTTTTAGCCAACCACAATCCATCGAACAGACATATTTACATATTATGGAAATATTTGTAACGGCGTAATTAAGCAGTCAGTAAATAGCTTTCTTTATTCAACTTATAAAAGCAAAGTTTGTATAATAATATACCAAATAATACACAATAAACAAATAAATACAAGTTCTCTCCACCACGATAGGTATAACAAATAAAACCAATCACAATTAAATTTTGATGGCAACCGCGCCGGTCACGTTACCATGACAACGCCGGTATATATATATATATTAATCAAAGAAACTCTCCACTAATATGTTGCACAATGCACAATAATCATGAACATGATTTACAATTACTGGGGTGACATCGGCACGTAATCAATCAATTAACTAATTTTTTCCGAGTGGTTTGGCTCAGTATTATCGTTAATTGGGGCACGATTAACGATAATCAATAGCGGCCGTTTCCGAAATCGTATAAAGTTTCCAAAAATAAAGATAAATATGCTTATTCTATTTTCTTCTGACTAGCATAAGAGGAGCTGAACACACACACAAAACGCATATATTCTATCACTACCCGTACACACAGAACATTATATTCGCACAGCTCTCAGCAGCTGTTGTATATAAACTGGAGGCCTCTGGAGGACCTCTGGAGGACCTTCTATTCAGTATTCCTCCAGTTATAGTAGTAGTATCCCTCGCTACCACTGCAGCCAATCTCGGGCTCCGTTAGATTTGTTACCAGCTAGACGCAGCTCAGACACCCAGGGGTTTGAAAGACGCTCCAAATATGGAGTTCCAATGTGGGTGCCCCCATTCCGTCATCTCCCTTCAAAACGCAACGAATTTGATAAGAGCTGCAGCCTGGACTGAGCACGCCAATACCCCTTGAGATTATTTAGCGGCTGTGAGTTGAGGCAAGCTAAGATCAAATAAGAGGCATTTTGAAAGGAGAGCTTATTACAGGAGGTAGCGCTTTGTAACCGAGTGAGAATGTGAGACTGCGTGCCATTGCTTGCTGATATATCAGTTATCACTTGTGGGTCTCGTTAAACTGAGATAAGAGTCGTCTCGTAGAAACCTAGGGTAGATGTCCGTCTTCATCAGGATGTAGATCTTGTCTTGGGCCTCGTTGAATATCGTCATGGTGGGGGCCAGGATGTTCTTCTGGATGTCTTTCCGTATCACGTCGTTTATGTTGATCTGGGGTGGTTACAGGTGGTTACAGGAGTGATTACGGGAGTGGTTACAGGTGGTTACTGGTTATGGGGGTGATTATAATGGTTGTTAGATAGCTGCTGTTGCTAGCAGTCACATTGGGAAATTGTCCCATATAAAAATACTCCTGTGTTTATCATACCTGTTTCTCAGCCTGCAGGGACACGAAAGTCCTGTAAATCTTCCTAGATGCTTCGTTCAGCCGGTCCCCCTGCAGCTGCTTCTTCCTGAACTCTTTAACTGCTAACCAGAACTCTATGTTCTCAGCTGCGTGGTGCTTCCTGGCAAACTCAGTGAACAGCTGCACTCCTTCTGTGGGTAATGTTATTATTACGGACAGGCTTAGAAAGTAAGAAGTAAGAAATATAAAGTAGGAAATAGAAAGTGGGAAATAGAATGTGGGAAATAGAAAGTAGGAAATAGAAAGTCAGAATTCTTGGACATTAGCTTCATCGTAATGTATAAATATATTAAGTATATACATAAATGTATAGATATATTAAGTATATATAATGTGCAAGTTACGGTCATCTATCTTATCTATCTAGACTCTACAAGTAGAAAATAGTCCTTTAGATGTTAAAAATAAAAGTAAGGATAATTTGCCTTTAAAGATAGGTATTTTTTTTTCAACAATAACTACGAAGCCTCGTTATGTGAAAGCATCTTGAAAACCTCTTAATTCGCCATAATGTGGCCAACGCAGTCATTTGCATAGAAAAGTAATGAGTTGACTGAAAATTTTAGTTTATAAACTTTTTAAATTTGGTGATATTTTCAACTAAAATAAAATAACTTTCTGCTAAAAAATCAGTCATCTGCATTCTTTTCTCCTACAAGCTCTTTGGCGAGGCACTGCTCAATGAACATTTACATAAAGCAGAAATCTTTATCAAAACCAAGGAGCACCTTTTATCCCATGTATGGATACTGAGGAGTGATCTCTGGGTCCAACAATACTTGCAATGTCTTACATAGTCATTTCACCAAAGAGCCAAGCTCATCTAGGTACTTAAAAGTTCATCAAGTTTTGTGTGATTGGATACACATGCACACAGAGCATGTAATTTAAAACTGCTCCAAGATCTGAACACACGAGGAATTCAAACAATTTGAAGAGAGCATGATGGCTGAAGAGAGAGGCGTTACACCCTACAGCTGCAGCCCGGGGAGGCGTTACATGTATATGTAATTAATTGAAAATGTATATTTACTGTTATCATTAATTGAAAATGAGGAGTGTACTTACTGGTATCGTTTATAAGAGCGTCAAAGTTATTCTCCCACTTAGCAGCTTGGTCTCGGGATCTGAACAACATAGCAAGAGGTGAGCCGCTCATTAAGAAGGCCCTGCTCACTAAACAACTAAACTAGAGGAATTGTTAATTAATTAATTAATTAATTCTGGGGATATCCCGGGGATTTTAATAAGGACAAAACAGTGCGTCGAGTTGACTGTCATGTGTTGTACCAAATCAGAAGTGAAAATACAAAACTATGGCATATGGTTGGGGTGGGGTTCATTAAGGAACCCTTCTCTTAAACTAGGGGAACAATGTACCAAGAAAAGGGAGGGTGTGAGAGGGTAGGGGGCCGTGTGAAAGTACTGAACTAGAGCAATGACAACACACATGATGTATAGATAAAAGATAAATGTACTCGGAACTGTGGGCCCGGGTAATATGTACTAGCAGGAGAAACCTGATACTGTACTAAAAAGCGGGGTGGTGCAAGTACTCAAGTACTGGCCCGTGCAGTGTGTCCTGCTAGCAATCCATTACAACTCATTTGCACGTGGGCGATCTTACGCACATGGTTGATTAAGAGCGCAGTTTGAATATATACTTGCAGTCTCTCGTGCCAGTGTATATTATCGGGGACCACAAACCTGATACTGTACTAAAAAGCGGGGTGGCGCAAGTACTGGCACCGTGTGGTGGTGTGTCTTGCTAGAAATCCAGTATTTCTCACATGATTTGACGTTTCTTTCATTCAAATTTCTGATTGTTTTGAATAGACTCAGTGAAGAAAGATTCTAATGGAAATAAATACCAACTATATTAAATATTTATTTCCAATTCCATAAGAATCTGTTTTCACTGAATAGAAATTTTAATGAAGGAAACGTCAAATCATGAGACTCAATAATAATCCACCACTACTCACATGGTTGATTTAGAGCGCAGTTTGAAGATCCCCTTCCTGGACATTTTGGTTGTGCCACGTGGTGTCACGTGGAGTGTGTCACGTGGTGTCACGTGGTGTGTGTCACGTGGTGGTCGAGTGCTTCTCACAGAGGTCACTGCTCCTGACATTACACTCTCTTGTCATCCTGTGTCATTTGCCCTTCATTGATTTTCATTAATTAATTGTTATGGCTAAAGTTTACATTATCCGGATATCCTGGAAATTTGAATCACGACAAAACAGTTCATTGAGTAGACCGTAGTTCTGTATTTTCACTTCTGATTTGATGCTACACATATTATATTATGTTCATTGTTGTATCAAATCAGAAGTGAAAATACAGAACTATGGTCTATGGTCGGGATGGGATAAGCTTTGACGTCAATTAATGGTGGTTTTACGTCACGAGGTATTGTTTGACGATCACTTTTCTCCTCCCAATAATATTTCCAACATTGATAACACACCGACTATTATACAGGTGTATACTGAGTTATACAGGTGTATTCTCAGTACTGAGTACTGAGAATTATTTATCTCGATGTTATTTGGAGGAGAAAAGTGAAAGAGGTATAAAGTCCATGTATTATGAGGTATCACCTTAATAACACCAGAATGTGTGTGTGTGTGTGTCTGTCTGTCTGTCTGTCTGATCGTCTGTGTGTAATTTCCGAACGGTTATACAAAAAAAACGGTAATAGTTACGGGACTGGTTTTTTCGGTATAGTGCCGACAAAACTCTGACGAAGCCAATAGGCAAATTTTATAAAAATCGGCCGGTGGTAAGTGGTTTAATTGATGGTTTTGTACCACAAAATATGTTGCATAAAATGGCTTGAGAAGAACGGCAAGAGTTACGGGGTTAGCTCTCTCTCTCTCTGCATAATATTATTTAGCGTATATATTACATGGCGTATATATTACATGGTCATATAATACTATAAACTTATTAGGGGAGGGAGTGCTCAAACGGTCTGTTTGGACTGTAGAGAGAGTTCATACTTTCATACGACAATGTAATGCATGTTCACAAATATGATAGGCTGGTGTGGTGCATGGTGTTAAGGGTTAATTTCCATTGATTATTGATTAAGAATTACTATCTTTTAAGCATACTATTGGATACGTGAGGGCACTCCGAATTAGGGTTGCCATTATCGGTACAAAATTTTTTATCGCGATAATCGATAATTTTTTCAAAATTATCGCGATAATATCGGTTATCGGCGATAAATTTGGCAATATAATTGAAGTAATATTTGTATGCACTCTGTATACTTGCATTATGCTCCTATGCTATGTTACATCTTGTGCTGATTGCTTTGTTAAAGAATCAATTGCAATATTGCCCTTTTATTTAACAAGCCCATATTTCATAGACAAAATATGTTCTTAAAGATAATTATTGCTTCTAGCAAAAAAAATTTTAAAGTCTGCTGCCTGTTAGCTGCCTGTTAGCTGTGAACAGACCTATCTCCCGTGCAAGGGTATCTGTCCTTGCTACCGTAGTCGAATCGCTGCCCTAATGTAGGTCTGATAATTCTTTTTTCAGCGGGATAGGACTGGCATCTGGCATCTGAAATTGTGGGAGTCGTCTGTGAGTCATGAGGACCAATCGTCGAACTACTTGCGAAGCTCAATCGCTGATAGTCTCTTTCTGCTTAAACAACTGTTGGAGCAGAGACTTAGAGCTACGTATCAAGGTTGACTTTGTGATCATTCTGTATTCTTGTCCTACATCTTCATCTAGATAACCGGGGTCCGAGTAGAACTTTACCAGCGATACGAAGTGAAGGTTCTTTCTCTTGGCATATCGTGTACGTAGCCTATCGGACAGGCTTCGAGAAAATGGCGAGTCTATCTCAGATCTCTTCTAGCTTGCTGTCAATAAACTAAATAATCACTTTTGCTTGAGCAAGCATGCTTCCTCTTTTACACAGAAACTCAGTTACAGTCTTGAACGGTGCGAGAGCTAACTCAGTCTCTTCTACATCCAGTTTTAGATTGCCTAGCTCCAAGTCATCTAAAATTCCATACACTGCATCAGCTATCCGGTCATATCTCTCCAACATACTGCACAGCGAGCTCCAACGAGTTTTGTAGTCTCGTTGCAGTGTGAGTTCCTTTCCGTGCTCCAACAAACAACAATAACTACGTCTGACCATACCACCTCCAAGTTACCTACTAGATGCGGAAAAAAACCATCACACTGCAAATTATGCTAGCACTGGGTTTTAACTTTACAAACAGAGAAATAGATTCGAAAAATATGTTAAATGTTGGCCATTTTACCCTAATAAAAATGTGTTGATTATCGCGATAATTCTCGAAAATTATCGCGATAATCGATAACGATTTTTGGGAAATTATCGCCGATAATTATCGGCCGATAATATCGGTTGGCAACCCTACTCCGAATAGAATTGCTCGCCTAATCCGGGTTTTGACTCAGCGGGTAATTACTCCTACCCTTTTTAACTGCGGCAGTGAAATCCCGGCCGTAGGCCGGGTTACACTAGTATTAAGAATAAAACCAAAACTTTACATTCAACAAAAAAGCTTCTCCAAAAGTTTATCAACTTGTCACCAGGTTCCTAGAATTTATCAACTATTCGCCATTTCTACGAAGCTTTCCAAGTTCCTAGAATATCAAAAATTTAATTTTTTGACATTTAGTCATTAATTGATCTTTATAATTTCAGACATGCCCAAAATGGCGAAAATTATTGAACATTTCTAACGTTTCAACAGTCAACAGCAACGTTTATCCAAGAATTCACGAAAGCTGCTGTCGAAAATATGACCCCCACTGACTGCAGTACCTATAAAATTTTGACAAGAAACAAAAACCAATATTAATATGCGGTAAATGGTAATGTGAGTTAATGTATATCTAATTGTGACCTTCACAACTGGTCTCAGAAATAATGTGAAATTGACGTGTCTCAAGATGTTATATATTGTACATAATACATTGTGCGCCATCTTAAATTACTGATATTAACCTTTAAATAAAATAAAGTAAATTTAAGTAAAGTAAAGTAAGACAGCACAACTACAAAATAAGTTAAAACAAAACTCAACTTGAAAGTCAGAGTTTGGCGGACACCTCCTCCTCCGCTGGCATTATACTTACCAAAATTCCGATTAACTAGCGTCACACTCACGTCACGATTACACAACTTCGTCTTACAGCCTGTATAATACTTCTCTATTTTCAAACTAATTTTATAATGAAACTATAAATTGTTCCCAACTTGAGAAATACAATAACACGCTCTAAAAGAAACACATATGCAAATTATCATGGGATATATTTTTCAATTAAAAACATCTAAAAGCAATATAACCAACAAGACCCGCCAAATTGAAAAGGGTGTTCCACCAGGCAGGCTGAGCTGGCTATTTGGTGGAGCGAGCTTAGTTGCAGCACTAATTGGTGTATTCCTGGTGGTGCTGTAGTACACACCACGTGATATGATACATGTATTACATGTATTACTTCTGTGTATGTGTATCATCATTGGTGGTCGTATACTTGTTTCAGCCACACACCTTATACTAGACACTTATACCAAAACTGTCACTAAATGTTGGGCGATCAATAAGTAGATTATTAGAATTATGGAGATCTATAAAATGTGGTTATTTTTAACTACAGCTAGTTGGCATCATGCCTTCATTTTTAAACTACTTATGCTCGGTAAACTGAGATCAGTATTTACTTTTAAACGGAAGCAATTAGAATTAAATCCTTTAATTCGTGGTAGCTTCTAAAGTTATAACTACATACGATGGCACACAAAATAAAACGCACGCGTTGCACAATGAACATAGTTTTTAGAAAATATAAAAGCTCAATTTCCAAGCTTTTGACAGTATTGATAAAAGCGATATCACATACCAAAACCGATAATTCCATAAAGCAAATGTTGTTCTGACTTGATACGCATACAATAGAAATGACTAATAATAAAACAATACCAATGTAAGAAAGACGACAATAGTGAAGAAGAAATAGCTCCGATCATGCCACATATTAAACAGGAGCCATCCAAACAATAGAACTAAAATATGAGAACTATACTATGAACATAGTGCGGACATAATACCGGAAATAGTGCGGACACAGTACCGGACATAATACGGAGACATAATACCGTACTACTTTGCTCAGATCCTGATAAGAGGTGAGCTAAGATTGATCAATCATCAATACTTCTGATTAATACTTCTGACGCATCCAACTTTATATCACATCTAACAGTCCAAGTAGCTTGTTCTACAGCCTCTCCCGTCCCGTCCCCTCTTCATTGTATTAAGTGGAGGCACACAATGTTCAGAATGATTCTTTCTGTGCACGTTAGCAACCAGCAATGATCGAGTTGTCACGTTACTTTGAACGACTCATTCGTTCATTTGGTGGAATTCATGAAATTAAAAGCCAATTGTGAGACTGTATTCAAGCTTTTCATTAAGAATTAAAACAAGTCGTTCATATCATGAAGCCTGGGTGTGGACTGCTAGTATTACGGTTGCAGCATTTAAAACCCTGAAAAGCATAATTGTAGCAGGAGAAAACGGCTGAAACTAAGTTGGAGAGCTAGCGTACCCCAAACAACAGGCCGTAATACAAGGCAAATGATTTGATTCAATAGCATAATAAGAGATTTTGACAATGCATACTTTAAACACAAATTTCCGATTGTTTTTTAGCGCATACTCTGTATATTCTAGATATTCCAAGAATATCGAACATGCCTCAACATTTTCTAAAGCTTGAAACAAATTGAAGAAATCTAATAATGAAGTAAGGCTGTCCAGTGGCAAGACACTGAGGTTTGCTTACACAACACTAGGCCTCACCTTCAATAGAATTAAATTGGTGCTAATTTATAATAATTTGATTAAATCTAAACATTTTGGAGATATTTGCACCGATTAGATGAACAAACATTCGCTACACGAGTTTATTATATATGCTATACATAATATTAAACAAATCATTATTTATATAACATATATAATAATAATATGTCGGACTTACAAAAGGCGTTAAAAAGCTGGTACATTATTTAGGTGGTGATGTTCCCCCACACTGCAACACAACAAGTCCAGAACACAAGCTGCTAACAATATAATACACACAAGCTGCTGACACTATG